GTTGGCCTGCGGTAGAGAGAAAAGCGTTTTGTCCCGGGTGCACAGTCTGAGCTCGAAGAATCTCTTTGGGAGTATTTGTTTCACGAAGCAGGACCGAGGGCTCCCTGGTTAGTTAGGCTCTGCTGGTCAGTTTCTTCGTGCCCTTTGAACAGTTGAGGCTCTCTCCATTGCTGGCTCCCTTCCTGCGACTGGCACTTCAGATCAAAATACTAGTCTAAATGTCAGACACGTTTGGGGGCTTTTTAATTAAGGAAATGTCACATAGTTCATGCCTCTTGTGGCTTCTTCCCTCTCTTGCCTTTCTCAGTGATTTACAGGGGGAAGAGGAATGCAGAATGACAGAGCAAGCCACGATGACAACGGAGACTTGACCTAGTGAGTCATTTGAATTGACATGGTGTGACTCAGGGACAAGGTTTTTTGGTCTTTATTTTTAAGAATTCTTCGCATGTCTTTTACAGGGTTGTCTCAGATGTTAGCGTGACTAGAGATGGAAAAGATCTATTAGAATACACAGCGCATCTAGGATAGGACAAGCCGCACAGAAGAGCATCTCTGACTCCACTTCCCGAGGCGAGGTCAGGTGTGTCCTCACCTGCACAGACTTCGAGCTGTGCTGCGGAGAGGACTCTGGAGGGACGTGGACCCAGGCAGTCCTCCGGAAGGCTGCCAGGGCGAGCCAGTGCACCCGGGAGTCCTGGGCACGCACGAGGTCTGCTTGGCAGATTCCTTCTGAGGTTTCACATCCAGACACACTACAGACTTCAGCGCGTCCACTTCCCAAGTGTTTTCATCGACACCAGCACTGGCCACGCAGCCCTTTAACCAGTCACGGTCTGGAACTGTCCACTCCCAGAGGAGGCGACGTCAAGCCACCGCCCAGAGACATCGCTCATCCCCAAACCAACCACCAGGACTTCAGCATAGGGTGGCTGGCAGCAGCTGCAGGAACAAACACCCTCATCTCAAGTCTGGAAGAAGCCAAGCTGCTTACAAGGCTCGACAAGCCAAAGCCTCAGGCGGCATGGCTTCGGCTGGAGCACCTGGGAAAGCAGCTTGTCGGCTCGAAGGAGCACAGCCATGCTTCTGAGTGTGCAGAGGCTTTGGGTGGAAAGAGCCCAGGGCAGACTGGCATCTGTGTACCTCTGGGTGGGCTGGGGGGAGGAGGACCACCAGCCTTGCTGGCTGTAACCCTCACTCACACTGTAACTTTTTTTCATTTTTGAAGGGGGAAGGCAATGATTATATAGAATATAAATGGTTGTGCCTAGAAGAATGTGTGTCCTTCAAATGCCAGTAACCTTATTATAAAATAGTACAAGTAGGGCGTGTGTGACACACACACACAACTACGGTGTTCACTCCCCCAAAGCATAGCTGTGGAGCCAGGACCCGTGCTAGGAACGACTGCAGAATTCTGTCTGGAGGGAGAAGGAGTGTGGAGTTGGGCCTCAGGCAGACTGGGAGGGAGGACAAACCTCCTTTTTTCTGACCCTTTTCTCTTTCCGTAAGACCGATGAGAGATGCATGCTGAGACACTGAGTAGAGACACTCCCCAGGGCACCTGCCCTTGGGGAGGAGCAGAGCCGCAGGCCCCTGCCCCAGATAGGATCTGCTGCTGCAGAGGGTGCTCCCGGAGTGGGCTGAGTTTAGTTCAAGTTTGTTGCAGTGCACGAATGGGACTTGGGCAGGGGCACCTGCAGCACTCGGAGAACTCATCGCCCCCGTGCCACCCCTGCAGGTTCTGACTCAGTAGATCTGCGAACCTGTATTTGTGACAAATACAGTGATTTGTTTTTCAGCAATCTTTGTGATTGCTGAATCACAAGGGATTGTGACAGGTGGCCAGGTTTGGGGATCTTAAAAGGCTTGCCTTGATGAGTTCTTCCTTAAAGCACAATTTCCGTGATGGGAGGCTAAGGGTTAAGAGATAACTGAGGCATATTAAAAATGTTGCTTTTATTTGAGTAGAAATTGATTTGAATTCAACAGCAGCAAGCTGGAAGTAGTTAGGAACACTTCACCTACAGGAGCATGGGGGATAGACCTTTATACAGAAGGAGCTGAATCAAAGCAAGCATGTTGTTTGATTGCTATCGCTTAAGCTGTTGCCTTATTTGGAAAAGCCTGGTTGGCTGTCTGTGATTGGATGTCCTAGGATTTTTGGTTTCTGAACCTGGAGGCACTCCTAGGCTTGGGTTTTGGTTTGCTTAGGTAGGCTGCTAAGGTATTGGAACTACCTCCATCTAACAGCTCCCTATTTAGTTAATTTAAAGTAGATACAGGGCTGAGGGCTTGCGGAAAGATTGGTGAGAAGACCCGGAGGGTTCAGGGTGGTCCGTACCCGGGGAGGACAACCACAAACTGGGGCCGCTTTCTGAGCTGTGGTCCAGAGCCCACGTGAGACTGTGCTGAGAATGGATAGAGTTATGTCTATGGCCAATGAGTCGAGGGCAAAGGCCAAATGGAAGGCCAGGATCCCTGGTCCCAGGACACTGTGGAGCTGGGACCAGTGCACCCATGTTCTACAGACACTGGGGCACAGAAAATGAAATGTCTGCCTACATACGTAGCCAGGCATCTAAGGCTGGACTGCTTTTGTCAGAATTCCACAAAAGTCAACATAGTCCAACCCGGCTGAACATAAAACCAATTCATGGATGGACAGAGCACATGCTACATGCTTCTAAGTGCTGTCCACATACTCATTTCATCCTCATAACAGCCCCATGAGCTAAGAAAAAATTATCCAGTATCATAGCCTGTATATGGATAAGGAAGACAAGACCCAGAAAAGTACCTCATTGACATTTACACAGCTAACCAATTCAAACACAAATCCTCAGGGGTCCAAATACTCGGGTAGCATTGATTAGACCTGCTGATCCATGGTATCTTTATGGAAAATATTTCTCTGCATTATCATGATTTATCAATTGTTATCCATTATCAATGAAGATGATCTCCGAATAGAATGGTAAGTTAGTGACTCTCTGACTCAAGAGCTTTTACACTCAGCCACTGCTTATTTTGGCTGTTTATTTGCTCTGCAAATTGTATAAAGAAGATTTTTTTTTTTTAATCCGTGACTAGTGTTGGTGAATTTTACTTTCTATTCTGCCATGTCATGTTCAGGGACTCCAAATTCATTGTTCGATTTGTTTAGGCAAACAAACTATGGAAACCAAAAAGACAGCTCAGAGAGGTTATGCAAACCCAGGGGAGCAGGGGAAGTAGGCAACATTCTCTGATGGAAATGGCAATGGCCTTGGAGGTCTTTCACGCCTTAATTTCTCTGAGTATCAGATTTCATATCTGTAAAACAGCAGTAAAGATTGTCATCTTGTTGGATGGCTGTGAAGTTTCAGGTTATTATAGTCAACACATAAGTGCAATGAAAATGAGGAGCTTGAAGTCACAGGCTTGCAGAGTGTGGATCTGTGTTTGGGTGTGACTAAGGGCCACACTAGTACCCTGGAATCTAGCCTTCAGGAACACGAGCCCTAGCTGTCCCACATGTAACCCAAGTCAAACTTCCAACCCAGAAGGGCCTTCCTGTGTCACTCTGGGCACCCGGTCATTCTCAAGGGCAAGAGACGGTCACGTCACCCACCTCCCTCTGCCATCTTGGTCTGACCATGGAGGGTGAGGAGCTGCACTTCAGGAAGGGTGAGTCTGCCTTGCCCTGTCTTTTTTATGTGTGTGTGGCTTGGGACTGGCAGAACCTGATATACAATTGTAACAGAAATAATGTGTGTGTTTGTTTAATGTTTTGAGCAGTTGAGTCCATTTAACATCGGTTTAAAAGAAGTGAGGGCTTCATCTTCCATTCATTCTCATGTTACTCTGATGGAAAAACCATTCGTGCTGCTAAGATCTCATTGGCTTCATTCAAGGATCTTCATGAGTGTCAGTGTCCAAGCTAGCAGATAAAAAGGAGCTCTGAGGAGCTCTACTAAAGACTTTTATAGGCAGAAGGGAGCAGGAATGAGGAGGTTATACTGGCAAAAAAACCAGGGGGGATTAATTTCTATAAGGTTACTTTCCTTTAGTGAATGGCTGGAGTCTATGAGGCAGATTCTCTGATCAGTGGTTCCTGATTGACTGGTCTAGGATTCCATTTCTGGGAGAGCCCAAAATGTAATTAATTCTTGTAATTAAGTCTTTGGCACATGAATTTATGTTTATTAAACAAATAATTATTGTTTTACTGGTTCATTTATATATATCATCATTAAGGCATTTGCTTTTTTTAAAAAAGATTTTATTTATTTTTAGAGAGGGGAAGGGAAGGAGAAAGAGAGGGAGAGAAACATCAATGTACTACGCCTCTCATGTGGCCCTCATTGGGGACCTGGCCCACAACCCAGGCATGTGCCCCCGACTGGGAACCCCACCGCCGTACCCCCTGGTTGGCAGCCAACGCTCAATCCACTGAGCCACACCAGCCAGGGCAAGGCATTTGCTTTTTAAACCAACTTTCGACTACTTTCAAAATCAGGAATTCAATTCAATTCAAAGTCAGGAATTGAGCTCTGTAATTTGACTATAAATTCTGCAGAAGTGTCTTATTCCTTCGAGTTTCCTGAAAACTGTACAGTTCTGGGCACACTGGCGGTCCACCTCCTAGTTCTACATAATTACTACGTCATTAGAAAATAAATAAACTTTGGGAGGAGGTACCTTTCTCGGGGTTATTGAACTGGATACTGAGAGAAGTGTATTATGAAGCCCTTCGCAAAGAGAAACCCTCCCTTATTCATGCATGGTCCCCCAAGAACTGAAAATTTCATAGATCGCGTCAGCGGACAATCTGTCGGCTCTTGTAGTTTATTTTATTTTTTGATGCTTCTGACATCACCCAACGTCGAGGCACGGAGAACACAGTCTCCCGCTAGGGGGCGCGCGACTGCACACGGCGCTTCCACCCCCACTGCGCAGGCTCCGCCCAGGAGTGGGCGGGAATCCCTGCCGACCCGCGTGACGTCAGCGGAGGATACGGGCCCGCGGGCGGGGCGGGGTCGGCCCAGCCGCAGCGCCCTCCCTCACAGCTGAAGTAGGTTGCGAGAAGGAGGCGGCGGCGGCTGCTACTCCGCAGCGTTTGGAAGATGGCGCCGTCGGTGACGGAAAGGGGGCTGAAGAGCGTCGTGTGGCAGAGTGAGTGCGGCGGGGCGGGGGCTGAGAGCGAGCGAGGAGGCCGGAAGCGCCGCCACGCCCGGCCGGGCCCTCCGGCCCCAGACCGGCGTTCTCCCGGGGAGCCGCCGCGGGCACTTGTTGCTTCGGGGTCCCGGTCCCCGTGAGCGCGTCTCCCTTCGCAGCCCTGTTTCTTGGCCGCGCCGAGGTGGGAGGGGTGCGGGGGACGCGGCCCTGTCGCTCGCGCCGGCGCCCCCTCGCCTCGCCCGGCGCGGGCCTGGCGCGCGGCCCCGGCGCGGCGGCGTTTCCTCCCGCGGGTCGCGCTCGGGTCCGGGACGTCTCCGGTCGGGACGGTGCGAGCCCGGAGTTCGCCCGCCCCGCCCCTGCTCCCCGCGCTGGAGTGTCCGAACACTGCCGCTTTTTCGTCGTGTTAGTGCCGGGGAGGGGTTTACAACCATCAGGTTTTAGTGTCGTTAAAAGAAAAACTCACTGTCAAAACACAGCCTCCGTCCTCTGTTCCTGAAGGAGCCCACTTTTTGCCCCTAGTCGCGGAGAAGGGACCCCCGGAGTGGGTCACCTCGGGCAGAGCGGCACCCTCGCCTCCGCCCCGCACGCGCCGGGCGCTCCCTGCTGCTCGGGCCGCGCTGTCCGCTGGTCGCTGACGTTCTGCCCTTTCACTCGGGACTTTGGTAAAAGTCGCTGCACACCTAGGCCTGCCGGGCTGGAGAAGGAACGCAGCCGCCCGACAGGGAGAACCGTCGACGTCGGGCGCAGCGGGGTGCAGAGTAATTATGGTTTGGTTGTGGCAGGGGAGCAACATCTAATTAGTGTGTCTGACCCCGGCTTGTTGGGTGAAGAACGGAAATGAGCTTAAATTCTGGGAGTTACAGAGTTCCTTGGGTGAAATGAACCCAGGTCAGTAACTAACATTGTGCTGCACATACCAGGTGCCAAAACCCAGTGTATAAAGAGAAGAGAAAAAAAAAGTTAGGAAAAAAACATGTTTTTAAAAACTGGATAATTACAAGGTTGCCATTTTGTTTTCCAAGATTCGCATGGCTTACTTACAATATATGGTATTGCTTTAAAATCGCAATTGCAGTTAAATTTTATATGAAAATGGGTGAGGAACCTGTGTCGTATAAATACTTTCCAAGATATATAATGGCCCTTCGCACCAGCATTTTTCAGGGGGGGGGGGCGGGAAACGGTGAGTGATAGTAATGTCAGTCTCAATAGCATGGAACTGGGCAAGAGAGGGGCGGGTTAGAGGTAAGAAAGTTTCCATGATGTGCTGTTAGCCTCCTGAGGCAGCACCAGGATATCCAGATGGAGCGTAGGATAAGGAAGACAGGAGACTGCAGGGAAGGAGAGACGAGTTGAAAACAGCCCTGGCTGGTGTGGCTCAGTTGGTTGGAGTAGTTGTCCCATAGACCAAAAGGTCGCAGGTTCAATTCCTGGTCAGGGCACATGCCCAGGTGGCAGGTTCAAACCCTGGATGGGTGTGTAGGAGAAGGCAGCCAATTGAGGTTTCTCTCTCTTTCCCCTTTTCGCTCTCTAAAAGCAATGGGGGGAAAAGTCCTCAGGTGAGGATTAGAAAATGTTTTTTTAAATAGTTCTTAGAATCTTTGTGTAAACAGAAACATGCCTGAAAGACAAGATGAGGATCATTCAGCATTTAATGAGCGGAGGGAGAGAAAGAAAGGGGAGCCTCTGAGATGTTGGGGCCTGAAAGAGGATGGAGGAGTCTCCTTCGAAGTAGGAGAATCACACATTTGACCCAGAAAATGTGTTTCTGGGTTGAAGAGAATACAGTTACGTCTTAGGGTAGAAAGCTAAGTAACTCAGTTCACCCACAAAGTAGGGAGAAAGGAGTAATTATTTTGAGCATTTACTCTGTGCCAGCCACTCTTTATATACATTAAAACTTAGTTTTAATCTCTGATCCACAGCTGTTACCACAGTTGAACTATTCAAAATAGTCAAAACAACCCACTGTTCATAGATAAATAACATGTGGCATATTCACACAATGGAATATTATTAGGCAGTAAAAAGGAGTGAAGTGCTGATACATGCTCCAATATTGATGAACCATGAAAAAGTGTGCCAAATGAAAGAAGCTCGTCACAAAGAATCACATACTATGTGACTGTATATGGAATATCCAGAATGGACAAGTCTATAAAGATAGAAAGTAGATGAATGGTTGCCCGCATGAGGGGCTAGGAGTTTGGGGATCTCAGTTAAGAAAACCATTTCCTTTTGGATTAATGAAAATGCTCTGAAGTCAATTATGGTGATGGATGCATGACTCTGAATACACTGAAAGCCATTTAACTGTGCACTTTGGGTGAATTACAGGTGACCATTAAAGAACATAGGTTTGAGCTGCACAAGTCTGCTTATACACAGACTTTTTCAGTAATTACGTGTACTGTTTATGATCTGGGATTGGGATCCTGTGGATGCGGGAAGCCAACTATGCACTGATCTGTGTCATTTTATGTAGGGGCCTTGAGTATCTATAGATTTCAGATACATGAGTGTGAGAGGGGTAGGGTCGTCCCGGAGCTAATCCCTCATAGATACCGAGGGACTGCTGTGGTTGGGATCTTTTTGGGGAGTCGAAAGTTATACATGGGTTTTTGACTGCACAGAGGTGGCGCCCCTAACTTCTACATTGTTCAAAAGTCAACTGTGTATGGTATGCAAAAGTCAACTGTGTATGGTATTATATCTCAAAGCTATTTAAAAAAACCTAATACAGTTATTAAATGTAGACGTAGTTTTCACGCCCTGGTCTCCTGGCTGCAGAGTTAAGGTGTGACCTGTCTGTGACTTTCTGTGTTCAGACCTTAGTTCAGAGCCCAGTCTGGTGCAGTAGCCTTTTAACAGCCTCCAAGTCTTTGTTCTTTCTCACTCCAGTCCACCTGGCCCGTAGCTGCCCAAGCAATTGTTCTGGAACAGCAGTCTACTGTGATCTGCTTGAAGATCTGCAGAGACAGTGCCCCCCAACCCCCCAGTTGCCTAAAGATCATTTAAAAGTCTGCTTTTGAAGACATATCCTGGCCCCAACCTGCCTTTTTACCTACTTTTCCCTTGTGTAATCTTGACATTCAGCTACTCGGTACTGTGTACTCATCTCTAAATCTTCTGCCTCCACATCCTGATGCCAGTGGCCCTTTCTTCGCCTTTCTAAACTTCAGCCAGTCTTCAAGTCTCAGTTCAGATGAGGCTACTGCCTCCATAGTGGCTTCTCATTTTAACTCAGCCTCTTATATTTCTGTACCATTTAGTGTATTCTTCTCAAATGGCACATCTCACTGCTGCCTAATGTGAGTAGCTTTCTGAAGGCAGGCTCAGTATTGTGTCTCCTGGAGCTTAAAATTTGGAACAGGCCCTGGCAGAATGCAGTGGTAAACAGTGCTCATTACAAGTAAACAGATCAGTTTATAAATTTCTCCATTTTTTGCTACCTAAAGTCCCCCACTTATTCAATAAATATTATTGAACTCATAGGGACTACAGCAGTAGAAGGCAGACAAGTTCCCAGCCTTCTCAAACCTTGCGTTCAAATGGGGAATAACAGAAAAATAAATATGCAAACAAAGAATAAACATGATTATTTTAGTTTGTGATCTACAGAGAAGGGCTATTGTTAGGTAGGTGGATCAGGAAAGGTATCTCTGAATAGGTGACATTTGAGCTGAGACCTAAAACATTAGAAGGAACCAGCCTTTAACAACTACCTGTTTTAAAAAATCAACTAATATTTTGAGTGCAAAAGGCTACATTTATTTCAAAACTAATTCCCATACTTAAAATGCTTGGTATTCCTCATTTGTCACTTTTTGTTACAGGGAAGTGTTGGCAAAAATATCACTGCTAAAAGGTTTTAAATAAAAATATGTTGAAGTTTATTTAGAAAGTCAACATACCACCCACACACAAAACCAGTAATTAAATCAACCGAAAGCAGTTTCAAGGCACCTTTCTTTTTTTCCTCTTACTCAGTACAGTCTTTTTCTTGTCTATACATACTAGTCTAATATAATGTCTGTAATTCATATTTTAGAGGAAACAGTAAATAAACCTGGAAAATTTACAAGTAAAAGTAATCACAATCTATTTGAGCCAATTCTTTAAAAACAGTTTATTTATTTATTTATTTTGAGAGAGAGGGGAAAGGAGGGAATAAGAGAGAGAAACATCAAGGTTGCCTCTCATGGTCCCCCAACCAAGGACCAGGCCGGTAACCCAGGCATGTGCCCTGACTGGGAACTGAACCAGTAACCCTTTCGTCCACAGGCCAGTACTCAGTGCACTGAACCATACCAGTCAGGGTGAGCCAATATTAAATCATAACCTCTTCCCCTTTTCACATTTTCCTTCTAGTCTTTTTATAGCTTCAGATATTTTTACTTTTTAAAAACGTTGGCATATTTTCCGTGCTCCTTTATAATTTTTGTGGTTAATGTCTTTAATCATTATTAAATACCTTGATGTGGAAAAAATTAATAGAAAAGATTGTAAAATGAAAGTAATCTAGCTCTCAACCCAGACCCCATCTCTTCTCTCCAGAGATAGCCAACAATCTTAGGTTTTTTTCTGAATTCTTCTTGAAGTTTTGCTGTGGCCAGGTAGCTCAGTTGGTTAGAGTGCATCCGGATTGACCAAGGTTGTAGGTTCTATCCCCGCCCCCTCAGGGCACATGCAACGAATGCATAAATAAGTGGATCAGAAAACAAAAACAATGTTTCTCTCTCTCCTCCTCCCTCTGTCCCTCCATCTCCCCTTCACCCCCTCTCTCCCTTTCCTCTATCTAAAATATTAGTAAGTACAAAATAATTCTTGAAGTTGTCTATGCAAATATAAGCACATATAAACGATGTTGTGGTTTTAGTTACTTTTGTCTTTATGTCTTTTTTCATTTTAGTCAACTCTTTATAATCTCAGTTTGAGGCATGTAGGTGCTTAGTCTTACATTGTGTAATTGAATTCAGTTCAGGGAGAGATGGGCTATCAGATTTGTGGAAAATTGAAGGACTGCTGGGGTTAGGGGAAGTGGGGAGAAGTTGGTCAGAGAGTACAAGCTTCAGTTAGAGGGTGACTAGATTCTGAGGGTTACAGCGCTGGGCGGTAGGTATACCTGACAGTTTCTCAGAGAGTAGACCTTAAATGTTCCCACCCCCCAAAAGTAATGGAATTATGTGAAGTGATGGAGTTATTAACTAACACTAAGGTGGTAATTATGCTGTAATATATGCTTATCAAATCACCTGTACTTTAAAGTTATACAGTGTATATGTCGATTATTTCTCAGTAACATTGGGGAAAAGGAACTGAAGGACTGACCTGATAGGTGAAACTCTGGTGATGAATGTGGTCTCTGAGGAAGAGTTTAGAGCTAGCCCTGCAAAAGTAAGAGGACTGAGTCCTGGGATATAGCCCCATTGAGAGTGCTGGGGAGTGCACACAGGTCAGGTCATTTTCATTGGTGCTAAAGGAAACGCCTGTTTAGTTCTGTAATGTTAGGTGGTGCGTCGTTTGATTCCTGTCCAAACATATCCTACCTGTGACCCTATCACTTTTTATTGGTGCCCCTAATCTCTGTCTGCAAACTAGTTCTTTCTTTGTTATTTATTTTTAGGAATCCTACACTAGGTACCCTCAGATTCCAAGGCAGCACTCCCCAGTAGAAATATAATGCAAGCCACATATGTAATTAAAAATTTCCTAGTAGTCACATTATAAACCAGTAAAAAGAAACAGGTGCAATTAATTTGAATGTATTTGGTTTAACCCAGTATATCCAGAATTACCATTTGAGCATATAATCAATAGAAGAAATACTTGACATTCTTTTTTTGTGCGAAGTCTTTGACATTTGGTGTGTAATTTGTATTCGCAGGATGTCCCAGTCAGGCTACCCACCTCTCATGTGCTTGATAGCCACATGTGACTAGTTTCTACCATATCAGACAGTGTGGTGTCTAGGGGTTTAAAGACTAAAGAGATGAGTTCTGCCCAGGGAACTCTTCAGTCTGTTCTACTGTGAATTCCATGAGCATTCATTTCTTAAGAGAAAGACATAAATCCAATAAAAAACAAGCAGAAGGTCTTTGATTTTTCAGCTTGTTTGAGGTATACAGGAATAAAGAAAGGGAAGTAGAATAATATTTCAGTGTTGAGCTCTCTGTGAAAAAATCCTTCCTTTTTGCCTGTAGAGTATCAGAGCCAGTGCTTTGTGCCGAACTTGTGGTTGAATACTTCAGGCTTTTGCCACAACACTCATGTAACACTATAGTCTTCCTAGCAAACACATAAACACCTTAGCCAACATTTCTTGACACTTTCAGACCTTCTTAATTACAGTAAAACATTCCAGATCACGGTTCTTATGATGAGTATCAGTAACTCTTAATAAATATACCCTGTGCTTCAACATGTCATTCTTTATAATATGATGCCAAAAATTTGATGGTAAATTTCCAAAAGCGATAATTTAAAACAAACATAAATTGACCCTGGCCGGGTAGCTCAGTTAATTAGAATGTCGTCCCAATTCACCAACATTGTGGGTTTGAACACATGGTTAGAGTTAGAGCACATACAAGAAGCAAGCAGTGCGTGCATAAATAAGTGGAAGAACAAATCGTTGTTTCTCTGCCTCTCTCCCCCCACTTTCTCTTTCTCTCTCAAATTAATAAATAAAAGAAGCAAAAAATATACAAATTAAGAAATAGAAAAGTTTAAATGAATTATATAAACATTTCATTACCAACAATTAATGAGTTACTGTAATTTACATTTTAATTATGTTCATTTATTACATGATACATAATACTATAGTTTTCAAAGTAAATTGAAGATTAATGAAACCTAGTAAATGTGGGAATTGCCTTATAGAGTAATAGATATTTTTGTGAATTGGCTATGTGAATTCTCTTATTTAATAATAAGAAAAAATAGTAGTTAAAAATATATTTAGATTAGTTTTGAAAATCATTGCAAGAAACATTCATAATTATTGATTATAAATTAAGACTGGATATTATATATGTGTATCCTTATACTGTGATATATTTTATGCAAATTATAATGTAAATCAGGAAGAAAATTACTTATCCAGTTTTGATTACATCTGATGATGTAATTTAGCAATGGGCTAGTTAGGGATTTTCCTGTGGGTATTTTTTTGTTTTGTTTTCATTTTGCTTACTTGGGATTTAAATAAATAAGGAAAAACAAATCAGATAATACTTTCAGAACTATTTTCCAGATGGTTATATACTTAAATATATTAGCCTTGTTTATTTTATTATTCAAAAGAGTTTAGAAATATTTTACAGTTAAATGTTACCATAAAGGGTAGGTTATAAAGAAAAGTGGAATTTTACATAGTGTTTAACAAGTATATATGCCTTTTAGGTAGCTTAGCAGAATTTCAAATTGGATAGTTCCCCAGCCATCTTGGACCTTTTAAGTACTTATTCTATTTTCATATTTTTGTTGATAAAAATTCCTAAATCTTTTCTTCTCTTCAGAGATAAAAACAACAGTATTTGATGACTGCAGGAAAGAAGACGAATGGAAGGTAGAATTTACATATTTGCTCTTGTATTGAGTCCTTTAATATATTGTCCTTGTTATACTTCTGTAAGAGTATGGAGTCTGGAACCAAATCACTTGTGTTCGAATCCTAGTTTCGCTTGATAGCTACGGCTTCCTGGGCAAATTACTTGATCTCTCTATGCCTCTGTTTCCTCATTTGTAAAATGAGGATAGTAGTACCTCATAGAGTAGTTGTAAATATTAAAATGAATTCATGTACAGTGCCTATAACAGTGCCTTGAACAGTTATTATTCTGCGTGTGGCATTCTATAATTTTATGAACATTTAATGTTAAAAATAACATACATTTAAAATGACTGTTTTCTGCTTTGAAATGGAAATATTTTCACTCACTCACTTGTATATAATAACTGCATGTACGTGTACTGAGAAACTAAATCTCCAGGTCATGCAAGTTAAAAGATGAGTTAATTCTGCCTGCTGTCCTGATATCTTCATATTATGTTATAAAAAGTTTATGAGTTTGAGTAGGTTTAATGGATTAAATTCTGCTTTTTGTGAATTTTTATAAAATGTTTATACTATTTTTAAATTTATATTCAATTTAAGATAATGCTTTTAGATGAATTCACCACTAAGCTTTTGGCATCCTGTTGCAAAATGACAGACCTGCTGGCGGAGGGTATAACTGGTAAGTGTTACCAGTCCTCATCACAAAAGCTTTATTGTGATTGAGAAGGTTCGAAATGTCAATAGATTTTAGTCAGTAATTGTGTTTGTAAGGGGCTGTGCTTTATTTTTTAGTAACTCTAGCCATAATAATTACACTGGGCATTCTTCTTTTCTCAGTGAAACTTCGGAAAAACCTCAGTAATTCAGGTTTTCCCCCCATCAGCTGAGTGCCTCTAAGTTAATTACCTTGTTGAGTTCCTTCTCCAAATCTTTTACATATTTGTTACAGTTTTGTATGTTGATGTACTAGGTTTGCCTCAGTGTTTTGATGAATGTTCATGGTTTGCATGAATTGCTTTTAAATGGATAGTAAGATCTGTGTCATAAAATAAACTTTTGTATACAATCATGTAATACTGACTTTGTTTTTTTATTACCTAGAAATGAAGTGATGAATTATAAGTTTGAATTAGCTTTAGTATATGATTATGAAAAATTATGCTGCTACAAGTTGTTTTCTCTGTCACCTTGGACAGGTTATTTAACTCGCTTAAACCTCAATATTATCATTTGTAAAATTCTTATAAGGTTATTATGATATTTATCATAATTCATGTAAAGTACTTAAACTGGTGTCTGGTGTCATGCTCGCTATTACTGAAGTAGAATATTTTGAAAAAGAAGTACATATTTAATTCTTAGTGTCTTGGTTTCTCATGGCACGTTGATTGCTATGCTGGGGCACCTAACTATGAACTAACTGCTTGTTTCTCATGCTTAGCCCAGAGTTCAGTCCTAGGAAAAACACATTTTTAAGATTTTTCACTTTATCAAACAAAAACAAAGAAAATGTTAAACCCAAGATATGTAAATGTTTCCCTATTATTATAAATAAGTAGTTATTAATGTTTATTTTCAAAATGATTTGAATGTATAATTATTTGGTTCTATAAAATGACTTTTTTTTTGTTAGTTGTAGAGAATATTTATAAGAATCGAGAACCTGTCAGACAAATGAAAGCTCTTTATTTTATTTCTCCAACATCAAAGGTAAGTATTTTGAATCTTTAAAAAGATGTTCTTCAGTCTTTTTACTATCTCACAGAAAATTCAAAGTAATTAAATACCCCTTATTAGAAAAATAGTGCCATAAACTGGTTTGCTTGGGGTGTTTTCTGTGTTAGAAGATTGTTTCATATGCATTCTTCTCACTAAAAATATGTGAGAAGAATTTCTATCTCTTGCATATGAGAAGCCAGAATTTAATTGGATAAAACTGTTACGTGTTTCTTTGAATAACTTCTTACTCATGCAGTTCCTATTTAGTCATAATTTAAAAAAAGACTATATTGTTTATTTTTAGAGAGGGAGGGAGAAAAGGAGAGAAACTTTGACGTGAGAGAGAAACGTCGATTGGTTGCCTCCTGTGCCCATCCCAGCTGGGGACCCAACCCACAACCCAGACACCTGCCCTGAGTGGGAATTGAACCCATGACCTTTCCCTGGGCAGGACGACACCCAAACAACTGAGCCACACAGGTTAGGGCAGCCATAATTTTTGAGAGGATTAAAATGTCTTAAAAGAAGTAATCTCTGGGCCTGGCTGGTGTGGCTCAGTGGATTGAGTGCAGGACTGCCAACCAGAGGGTCACCAGTTTGATTCCCAGTCGGGGCACATGCCTGGGTTGTGGGAAAGGTCCCCAGTAGGGGACATGCGAGAGGCATTCACACATTGATGTTTTTCCCTCTCTCCTTCCCTTCCCCTCTCTAAAAATTGATGTTTTTCCCTCTCTCCTTCCCTTCCCCTCTCTAAAAATAAAATAATCTCAAAAAAGAAAAAGTAACCTTTGATTAATTTTCATTTATCTTAGTGATTTTTATACTACCCATGTGTGTACATGTGCATGTGTGTATGCGTATATATATATATATTTTTTTTTAATGTCAGAAGAATTGCTTTATAATCCAGCCGTGATTTAACTTATAACTTAAAGCCAAACTTTTAGAGCTAAATAAAGTATCAAATTCCTTTATTCTGTACAATATCTAAGAATACACTTTCTAATACATACTTTGGCTTATTCCCACCTAGAATGTTAATCTGGCAGTACCAGTTTCTTCTAACTGTGGCAGACAGTAGGGAAAAACCCATATATTCACTATTTGGTCTCTACATACTGGCTGCTGGTGGGTTTTAATGACATTTTATAGTTTATTCATGATATCAATTCAGAAATAAAATTCATGATCGGAAAAGATGCAAGCTAAAAGTGCCATTTTTCACCAACTAAATTGGTAGAGGGGTTTTTAAAAAGTATATATGTATATGTATATAAATCTTGTATTCTAGCTATTGGTATGTAACAGCACATACCAGTATAAACTGCTAGTGGGAACATAGATTGAGACAGCCTTTTTGGAAAATAAGTTGCTTTTCTTTATCAAGAAGCTTAAAACATCCATATGTTCAAGTTTATTATAAAGAAGTAATCAAATAAATGGTTATGTTAAATTCCTAACAATAAATAAATCCAATTAAATTCTTAGCATTAACAATTAATGGTATGAAAGACCATTGCCATTGAAAATGACATTTCTAGGAAATTTTAATGCTCTAGGTAAAAGGTTATCATGTCAGGTGACAAAAGCAGGACACAAAATTTTATATTTGATGAAAGAACAAAGGGTTTTGTACCTTTTTCTACCACAACCAACTCCAATTTCTCTTCCTGTCCTTCGTCAAGTACCTGTTGGGTCCTTCAGGCCCCTGTGTACAAGTGAGGCCTTGGACTCCTCACACACTAGTGGAGAAACCAGGGCTGGGAAAGCACCTGGAGACCAGACCAGATAGTTCCTGGGAAGGATGGTGAAATGATAGATTTCAGGAACAGTTTGACCCTGAGAGGTCTGTGAATCCCAGGACAAAAGTCAGTTGGGTGTCTCAGAAAAGCCCTGATGGTTTGCTTTTACGCCTCTAGCCCTCAGGAGGTGAAGCCGTTTGCCTTCCTCCTCTGGCGGAAATGCCTCTGTTTAGGGTACTCCACCAACCCAACCTAAGGCTCAAGTGAGTTGGCCAAGTAGAGAACCTAAGGCTCAGATCAAGCTGCTAGAGAGAGGAAGGTCAGTAAGAATAAAGAAAACACATCTACAAAGTACAGCTGCGTGGAGAGGAGGATGACAATCTGAACAGAGAAATAGTACGCATAGTGAGATTCTAGTTAGCATATAAAAACTTTCTGAAGCTCAGAAGTGGATTATCTCAGTTAAACAGTTAATTGAAGACAAGGATAATCACTACTGAAATTTGAATAATAGTCTAGAAGATCAAAATGGAATATCTATCTATAAGCAAAAATAAACAAACTCCCAGAAATCATGGGGGGGAAGAGACTTGAAGGATAGGTCCAGGAGTTCTAACAGAAATACAGAGAGATTCCAGAAAACAGAGAGAATGAGGAGAGAATGGTTCTAGAAGTTCCAGCAGGAGAAAAAGGGACAGATGGAGGAGAATTAAGTTTTTGTTCGTATTTTTTTGCCTCTAGACCACTGTATCTTTGAAAATGAGCAGTGTTGAGTCATGTCCTACCAGGCTCTCTTACCTGCTATTCCTTCTTCTTGCAGTCATCTGCCAGCCTCTGGGTTTTCATTCTGGTCCCTTGACAGTTTTAGCTCCTAACCCACTGTCATGCTCTTCTTTTTACCTGTTGTCGTCTCAGAGGTTTAATTGTCTGTGAGGGTAATACTTCCAGTACCTTCGTTGACCTATCAGTTCCTCTATCTGTTGCCTGCCAGTGGTCTTGTCTTCTGTGTCACTGCAGCTCCCACATGAGCACTCCTAGATTTCCCCATTGCAAAACAGCACTCTGTTCACACATTTCACCTTCCTGCTTACTACACCTCTAGCTATCACTGGCTAGACAACACAGCATCTTATGAATTAAACTTTTAGACAGCTACAGTTTTTGTTTAGCGTTGAAATAAAATAATCTTAGTTATTGCAAAAGCTAGCATACTTAAATTAGCATTTAATAAAATATTTATTAACATCTCACCTTTTTTTAAGTCTGTAGACTGTTTTTTACGTGATTTTCCAAGTAAATCGGAGAACAAATATAAAGCAGCATATATATACTTCACTGACTGTAAGTAGCTTTGTAAGTCATTGCTTCATTGTTAAAAATTCTGTTAACTACAAAGTGTTAAAATATTCCAGTTCTAGTGACTTTCTGTTTATTCTAACTAGGTTAGAAAAAAATAAAGAATGTAAGACCATATGTATCCTAATTCATGTGAAGGTGATAGAAAATTTAAAAATCATCCCAAACTAGTTTCAGAAGACAGTCAGTTTTTTTGAGAGGTTGGTGGAGAGGGCTGTCCCTCAGATTCTGTGCTGATGACAGGAAGAATTCTTTTTCTTTTCTTTTTTAGTAAAATAAGTAAAGGTATTACTTATTTTACATTTTAGAGAGAGGGAAAGGGAAGGAGAAGGAGAGAAAGAAGCATCAGTGTGGGAGGGATACATGGGATACATGGACCGGTTGCCTCTCGAATGCCCCTAACTGGGGACTTGGCCCAAAACCCAGGTATATGTTCTGACTGGGAATTGAACCGGCAACCTTCTGGTTTACAGGCTGAGGCTCAATCCACTGAGCCACACCAGTAAGGGCGGGAAGAATTTTTTTTTAAGATCTTATTTATTTATCTTTAGAGGAGAAGGGAAGGAGAGAGGGAGAGAAACATCAATGTGTGGTTGCCTCTCATGTGTCCTCTGCTGGGAACTGGCCTGCAACCCAGGCATGTGCCCTGACTGGGAATCGAACCGCGATTCTTTGGTTTACAGGCCCATGCTCAATCCACTGAGCTACACCAGCCGGGGCTAAGAATTCTTTTTTGAATGAATATTTCGATTGGAGATTTGATTATGTAATAAAAAATAAGACCATTCAGGGGGACGCTGAAGGAACTGCAATCTGTTCGGCAAATACTAAGGGAGCAAATGGATCACGTTTCCCTTTCTATGCTATGTGTTGAAATAGCACCTAAACAAAAACATCACAGAGAAGTCCAGAGACACACATAATTCTGTTTTATATTATATCTTACATAATTACACTGCAAAATAAAATGTCATTCATCTAAGTTAGGTCTTGGCTTCTTGAGGCTAAAGAAATTCATGTTAAAAGACACTGGCATCCAGTGGCTGATATTCTGATCTAGATTTAATGGAACTGTAAACAGGTAGGTTAAAAGGGGGAAGGAGCCTGGGCTGGTGTGTCTCAGTGGTTGAGTGCTGGCCTGCGAATTGAAGGGTCACTGGTTCAATTCCTAGTCTAGGGCACATGCCTGGATTGTGGGCCACATCCCCAGTGGCGGGCGTGCAAAAGGCAACCACACATTGTTTTTCTCCCTCCAATTTTTCCCTCCTTTCCCCTTTGTCTAAAAATAAAGTCTTTAAAATATATATAAGAAAGGGGCGGTGGGGGGGGGGAGGTCCAGAACTTACTGACATCAGAGAAGTTCCTGTAATTACAGGGAAAAAAAAGAACAGTTGGGGTGGTACGGCTGCCCTGAGTGACTTAGAGAAGTGATGTAGATTCCTAACAAGTTCCGAAGGCCCTACAAAATGTTGTTAAGTCGTGAGTTAGCACCTGGTTCCCCTTCCCGACGATTTTAGTTTGCTCTGCTAGCAGCTGTCTGAGGAAATACACCTTAGGTCATGGTGGATATGAAGGGGGAAGTGGGAATCTCTGGTGCAGCCCCTTTGACCAGCATGTATCCACTCTGTAAAGTGAAGAACAGCGTTAACTCTGTCCTCATAGTAAATTACTTTGTGAAAGTAAGTAACTTAGAGAAAACAAGGTTCTAGATGTTAGAATGATTTATTCAAAAGAGTGAAAATTTAGATGGAGTTATATGCTTTGATTTTTTTTTCTTTTATCCTCTCAGTTTGCCCTGATAGTCTCTTTAACAAAATTAAGGCTTCGTGCTCCAAGTCAATAAGAAGATGTAAAGAAATAAATATTTCCTTCATTCCACTTGAATCTCAGGTACTTTCTATTTTATTTTTAATTTTAGTTCATAATGGATTTTAAATTTTGGTTTTATGAGCTTATTTGTTAATAAGGGATATATTACCTATGTATTTTTAAATGTTTGACTTATGTATTTGGTAAATTTGAACAATCCACAAACATTTCCCATGATGAAGGGAAGAACATGAGCACTTTATTAGAGTCCAGCATCAGAAATGAAAGTGGAGCTTACATTTCACATCCGCCACTAAGTCCTGTGCATGTCCAGCTTCACAGCACAGTTAGATCGTGGGACCAGGTTTCGAGCACACTCTCTGTTAGTGGACGGGGAGCTGCACAGGCACAGGCGGGTTAGCCCCGGCTCAGCCCCCAGCTGTGTGCCAGCTGCTGCTGTTGTGATGGGTTGTGTTCCGAGAAGCGAGTGACTGCCTGTGGAAGGAAAGGCAAGGAAGTTGTCATGATTCATCAGTTAACCTATACTGTTTATTACATACCTACTTTACACTCAATCCATTATATTAGGCCAGGAGGGATTACTGTTATTTTTAAAAATAAAAATTAGTTTAGTGGGGAACTCTCAACCCCATTTAGAGAGCTGCTGCTTTTGTATTCTTCAAATAACACAATAATAGTACATTTCTAATCCAAGTCTCCTTGCACATAAGTAAATGCTTTTGTTAGTTGAATAAATAGATCTTTGAGGTCACTGTATATACGGTAAGACCAATACTATGGTGCAATGTTGTATCTTTTTAGGAAGTATTTCTCTATTTTAAGGACATGGAAAGTATAAGCTAAAGAATTGAAGATACGTATCAGCTATGGAAAATTTCTAGGTTATTCTCTAGATTTTTAGTGTATGCCAGATATAGGGACCAATTTTGGCTTTGTTCTATTTCTTTTTGCCGGGTATTAGATTTTTATTTCAGTTTGACTACCTCAGATTTTTTCACCCATTGCACAGGCAGTGAGAAGCAAATAGTGCTGTGTGTGTGTGAAACAAGAACTGAAGGGGGGAGGTAGGCTGAGCAGGAAAGGGGAGTGAGAAAAGAGGGGATGAAATCCAGATGACCGTGAAAAGGAGATTTGATTAAGGTGAAGACAAAGTTGTTTCAGAAAATGTCGTTAGTGCAAGTGTTTTTTAATGTCCCCATATAATAGCTGCATTTCTCTTGATACATTTTTTAAAATCAGGTCTCCAAATTGACAGTGTAACTTTTTTTTGGCTTCACTTAGGTATATACTCTTGATGTACCAGATGCATTCTATTACTGTTACAGTCCAGACACCGGTAATGCAAACGGAAAAGATGCTGTAATGGAAGCGATGGCTGAGCAGATAGTTACAGTATGTGCCACCCTGGATGAAAATCCCGGAGTAAGGTATAAAAGGTAAGTCATTCAGTAGCATCTGTTTATGTTATCTGGTCTGTTTGCTCTCCAGTATAAAGGTATGTAATCTCTGTGCTTATGTGCATTGGTCGCAAAATTTTTCTTGCAAAATTATGCTGTATTTATAGAAGATTTAAAGTGTGATGTTTAAATTTTAGAGTAACCAGTAGCCTCTGCTGCTGAATTTCAGAGCTTACATTTGGTATGATTTACAGGCCTACTTTTTCATGAGTTTAAGGAATGCTTAGAGGAAATGCCTGTGTTGTCATATAGAGGCTGCAGTCTTACCTTTAATGTTTCATTAAGTTTCCCCCAAATTTAAGTAGCCATATTATCTGGATACCAGTCATAGTGCCTAAGTGTTTGTGGTTTCTAATCCTAGTGGTGATCTTAAATAAAGACTTTGGGGATTTTTTTAAGAGGTAAAGTTTGACTTTAGTACTGTGTACTTTTATTTATGTGCTTTATTTTTAAAAATAAAGTTTACTGCAATAATGATATGTATATGGCTTGATAAATCATTCCAAAATTAACATAACATCTAACATACCCACCAAGAAATGGAACATTAACAGCATCTCAGTTACTAGCTCCTCTCCCCTCCCCTTAGGTAGCTACCATCCTGACTTCTAACACATTATAGGACTGATTTTGAACTTGGTATAAATGAAATCACACAATATGCTTTGTTTCTGGCTTCTTTGTTCAGCATGGTGTTCTGAGAGTCATCCACGTTGTTGTGTGTAGCCAGAAAGCTTGTATTTCAGTCTTCACTGGCTCGGACCCTTCTGCCCTTGCTTTCCTTATCTGTGTAGGGGAAATGATAGCAGTACCCACTTCCTAAAGTGGTTGTTAGAATAAAATGAGTTAATATTTGGACAGCACTAAGAAAGGGCATGACACTAATAAAATGATAGCGGGAATACTCTCTACCAATAATAAGGGTTATCACTCATTTCCCTTTTGAAAAGTTCTCTAAACATTAGCATTCATCAGGTTGGTTGGCTGAATTGTTTGATTTCAAATTCATGTAGTACCTTTATATTTGTCATATTATTCTTAGCCATTAAAAAATTACTATTAATACCTAGAAAATATATATATAAAATAAATCAAATAAATAAAAAAACCTGGCTGGTGTGGCTCAGTGGATTGAGCGCGGGCCTGCGAACCAGACAGTCGAGGTTCAATTCCCAGTCAGGGCACATACCTGGGTTGCAGGCTGGTTCCCTGCAGGCCAGTTCCCAGCAGGGGACGCACGAAAGGCAACCATACATTGATGTTTCTCTCCCTCTCTCTTTCCCTTCCCCTCTAAAGATAAATAAAATCTTTAAAAAAATAACAAATAAATAAATAAATAAAATATTTAAAAATATAAAAAACAAAAACCAAACAAAATATATATATATAAAAGAAAATATATATAGTAAATCTCCTTAATTCAGGTGTTACCAAACAAGCTCTTCACTCATACCTCAAGTATCGGAAGCATTCTTTTTCTTATAGGTGATGTGCTAATTACATCCTGAAGTCAGTGGAGCAGAGAGTTAAGTAGCTTTCCTTCTGCTAGAGCTTACTCTCTGTTCAAGCTTCTGCTCTTAGTGATTGGATCTGTTCAAGGAAATGAGTAAATGTAACCAATTTATGATTGAGTAGCTCACCTATGGACCTATTTTGATAACTTGATGCTAGTGGATTATAAAAGTAAAATAATCCTGTGGGGTTTTAAAATTGTGTTCCTTTGCATAATATTTATTTATACCTTATAGACTTCTAAAGTGTAATTCCAACACAAAATTATTACCTTTTAAAAGTATTTTAAGGCAAAATATGTAATAAATTATTCCTTATAGTTGCTGCTTTATTTATTTTTAAGGTATAAAACCTAAAGATTCTTTAATACTTGGAAGTCCTCACAATGAGACCCTGCACTTTTGAGGTTGGAGTGCTGACTGAAGAGCCTTTCTCAACATTTTTCTTGTAGATTCGGGAGTTATATTAATGCCCCTGGTCATTAAGTTACAATTTAGAGTATGGTTTTTGTCATTTTAGAAGACAGTGATATATAAGATTTGATGCAAAAGACTATATTGAAAAGTTGACTGTTAGAGAGAATGTGAGGAAATCTCACACTTCTAGTGGAAGGAATAATTGGTCAACTATTTTAGAGAATAATGTAATATCTAGAAAAGGTGAAAATGTACATTTTCTATGACCCAGCAATTATACTTTTCTTTTTTGATTTTGAGAGAGAGAGAGAGAGAGATACCTTGACTAGTTGTTCCTCTTATTTATGCATTCATAGGTTGGTTCTTGTATGTGCCCTGACCGGGGATCCAATCTGCAACCTTGGCACATTGGGATGACACTCCAGTCAACTGAGCTACCTGGCCAGGGCTATACTTTTAGATGTAATATATCTAGAGAAACATGTACGTGGAGATATATGCACAAAGATGTTTATTTCAATGTCATTTGCACTAGGGTAAAATTGAGAATGAGAAGAAATATCCTTCTTTAGGAGAATGAATGAATACATAGCATCTAATATAATTGTATAATAGAAGTATATAGAGAACTAAAATGAATAAATTTAATACATGTGCCAGTGTATGTAAATCTCAAGCATACACTGTTAAAACACACGTATATGTGTAACAGCATGTGTATATATGTGGCAGGAAGAATACACACCAAATTCATGATAGTGGTTTTCTTGAGGGTAGGGGACATAGAGGTAGAGGAGAAGACCAGGAATTAGGAGGGGAACAAGGGAACTGCAGTTTTATTTATAAAATTTCCTTTACATTAAAAAAATCTGAAGCATATGCAATAAGGTTTACACTTATAAAATCTAGACAAGTTGATATATTTGATATATTATTATTTGAACTTTTTGTAAAATCTTTTAAATTAATAAATGGCATGGTTTAATTTTAGAATTCAATTTTATGATATTATACAATACATCTTGAAAGATAATTGTTTGAACATTTTTTCCACTTTTAGTAAACCTCTAGATAATGCCAGTAAGCTCGCCCAGCTTGTTGAAAAAAAACTTGAAAACTACTACAAGATTGATGAAAAGAGCCTAATAAAGGTAATATATAAAAGGCAAATAGTTATCTTGCCTAATCTCTAACTTATTTCTTTATAAACCAAGAAACTATTGTTTATTTTTTGGTATTGATTTGGGAATCATTAACATAGATAATAGTGGAAACCTTAATAGACAGTATGGTTTAGTGGGGAAGATCCAAGTTTTACAGGTACTGTATCCAAATCCTCTGTTTAACTCATAGAAATGTCATTTTGGGCAAATTATGTAACTTTTCTATGCCTAAGTTTTCTTATCTATAAAATGAGGATAATAAGAGTATACCTGTTTTTAAAGTAGTGAGAGGATTAAATGAGTTAACATATATAAAGTTCTTAGAATAATGCTTGCCCCTGAGTAAACATTTCATAAATGTAGTTACTCCTGTTCTTACTAGCTCTGTGACCTTGGACAAAGTATTTACTCTGAGTTGTATTTCCTTCTGTGAAATGGATGATATAACATACCTTGTTTGGTTGGTATGAAGATTAGGTGAGTTAACAAGCGTTTGGCATGTATAGTACTTTAATAAATGGCATCTGTTACTATCTTGTGAAGAAAGTATGAAGGAATCGAAGACTAAGGTCATAACGTGAGGAATACCAGCATTTAGGCTTGGGTTGCAGAGTGAAGAGCCTGACAGAGGTGCTGCCAGGGGGCTGGGAAGCCATGTGGTAGCAGCTGGGGAATGGAAGAAAGAAACTAGATGCTTAGAAGAGATGGGCAAGGAAACCCCCAATTACAGTGCTGTGTAGTAAGTGGAATGAGAGAAGAGTACATAGAATGTGATGGGAACATGGGCCGGGCCTTACTCTTATTCTAACTGGGGTCCCAGAAGGCATCCTGGAGGAAGAGGCCCTTGAGCTTGAAGAATGAATATAATGTGATAGAAGAGGGATTTTATTGCTTGGATAACAGATTTTGGGCAGAGGCACAGATAAAAACGCAAAATTCACAATCAGACATCTTGGCTAGAATGGAGGGTATAAGCTTAGATGTTAGTGTAGTTTTTGTTTTGGAGGTCTAGTGAAAGCTGTTGGTTGTAGTTACGAAGACAGTGGCTCAGTACACATAGCACAGTTACGAAGACAGTGGCTCAGTACACATAGCACAGTAAGTAGTTAATAAATGTTTATTGAAGAGAGAAAAGAGACACAATCAGTATACAGTGATTATCCTTTAGTTTCTCATTATTTCAGTGAAAAAAGGCAAAATCCACAAACATACATAAGTAAAATGCATCCTTTCCATTCTTCCTGCCTGAAAAATCACATTTTTTCAAATGATTAATACCTTTTTTTCCTTCATATGTGAACCTGACAAAGTGTTACCTTCATTATCTGAGCCTTTCCTGACATCAGGTCAAGTGGCACTTCCTCCCATGTCCTTTCCTAACCCCAAGCCCCAGTGTAGCGGTTCTTTCTCCTTTTCATATTCTGAAGACTTATAACTTACATATATGGAGGGTTTACGAAGTGCCAGCTTGTGCAGTTTCATGGTATTATTACATTTCATTTTTACAGTGATCCTAAAAGCAGAGGTTCTTGTTATATTTTGTTTTACAATGAGAATACTGAGATGTTAACAAGTTGAACAACTGACCCAAAGCCATACAGCAAAAAGATGTCAGGGCTGGACTCAGTCCCCAATTTGGTTCCCAGAGGCCATGCTCTTAACCATTTAAATGAGTGGATGGTTGATCAAACATTTAAAAAAGATCTGTCCTATGTAATTTATCTCTGCTGTATGTAAATAAATAGGAAATATTTGTCTAATGAGTTGTAGGTACCCCTTACTGCTTTGAATAATAACCTAAAGAATTTACTACTTTTAGAAATGAAGTATGAAAAAAAGAAATGAAGTATGAAAGATAGTGATATTAACAATTGTTTTTCCCAGCATTATTATTTACTGTTTAATGATTAGTGCCATTTGTGAATTAATGAAAATAAGGCTTTTATTAAATAGATTTATTATCCTATCAGGCATCAGTATTTTAGTTTTAAATAGCATGATGGTTAAGAGCACAGGCTGTGGAGTGAATCTGACCAGGGTTTGAATCTCCGTTCTGCCCCTAACTAGCTATGATTTGAGTAAGTTACTTGTAATCCTAATGCCTTCATTGTCAAATGGAGGTAAGAACACCTGTTTCATAGGGTTGCTGTAAGACTTGACTGATATGTGTGTTTCTTGCTTAGCAATGTACAGCACAAAGAGCTCAAGTAAAAGCTACTTTTTATAATTTATGTCAGTTTTAGTGTTTATGGGGCTGGATCCTAAGAAAATAGATTTAATGCAAGCCAGATGTTACTTTTTAAAAGGAATGTTCACAGTATTATTAAGCATATCCTCAATCTAATTATGACAGCTTTTGGTTTTGTAGTCTTGGTTTTCCTCCCTCATTGTGCCACTCAGCTTTTTCCATTTTAATGTGACAGACTTAGGAAAAGTCTGCTTTTGTTTTCTAAGATAATGGAAATGTGTTCACACATACAAGTGGAAGTTCTTAAGGTCATTTTGTCTTGTTATTCCAGGGTAAAACTCATTCCCAGCTCATAATAATTGATCGTGGCTTTGATCCTGTGTCCACTGTCCTACATGAACTGACCTTTCAGGCAATGGCGTATGATCTACTGCCGATTGAGAATGATACATACAAGCAAGTATAACTTCAAGGGCACATACAGGGCATACGCAGACAGTACAAGATGAGAGCAGTTAGTGATTCTTGCAGGCACCAGAAATCTGAAACCTCTAACATTTTTTTTGGAGGCATTTTTCTCTTTCTCCTATAATCATAATCTATTAAAAATATCTTCACCTTGTAAATTAATGGGTAATTTGACTGCTTTGAAGATTTTTTGGTGTATTTGCTTCCTTAACTATGTCTACAGCAAAGCTACATGTAAACAGGTTAGAATTTGGAATTTTCACTTAATGTTAAGAGTATATACCAGGCCCACTACTATGTTTATTTAAGTAGAAACCATATTCAAACTGGTTAGGCTGTAACTATTCTGAATAACATGCCCCAAAGTGTCTGTATGTGTCCTGTCAATGTAATGTATTTTAAAAGATGAGAAGATTAAATAGGATGGCTATTGAGATAGGCACAATTTTACCAGTTGGGTACCTATTGTTTACTTAACTCTGATATAATAAGTGTATTTACTTTAAAAGTAATGTCAAATAGAAAGCTAAATGAAAAACAAAATAACATGCCTATCAAGGAACTATTTTACTGTATCTTTGTATCATTTATGAGTGTATATGTATATGTGCATATATACATATTACATATTACTTGTTACAATCTCTAAATCCATATTGGTATTTTTCTGCTAAGATTTACTGCTTCACCTTAGAGAAAAAAGTGAAAATTAGTTTTCTGAAATTTATATTTAATTTAGTAATTTTAATAGATTAAAAAGATTCAAACACTCGATAATTATAATAATTTCTTAAACCAAATATTCTTTAACTTTATATTTTCTCTTACATTTTTATTTACCTGGCTTCTGAGTTTTTCTGTTATTTTTATTAATGTTAGATGACAGAAATCAGCATAGCTATTTTTCTAATATACGGTTAGCTTCAAGCAGATTATTCAGAATTTTCTGAAGGGATTATTATTATCACCTCTCCATCCTGTAGGTCTCTAAACCTGCATTGTTCAAGAAATTTACGAAAATTAAACTGATGGACACTAAAGGATTTGGTTTCAGCATAAAAACATAAATTTTAGACATTTCTAATCTAGTATATAAAATATTTATTTTAGGTGTTCTAGCAAGCAAAGCACTATTTTATTTTTTAGGAGTAAGATTTTTTAAAGCCATCAATAGTTCCTTTTGTATGAATCAAAGAAGTCCATCAATAAGACTAGAAGGAAGCACTGAACTCTGTGGTTTGTGTTCTTGCATAATTCTTAGTGGAAATAGACTAAAAGCAGGAAATCCCGGCTACCTAGAATCTGTTTTTCACCTTGGTGACCTCTTTGCTTGTAAAATGGAATTGTTGTCTTTTGGTATTGTCAGGCTTATGATAGTAATTTTTGTTTGTAAATCAAAGGTTAAAGATATTCTGTAAGTACAAAGTGGCATTTTAAATGACAAAAGGGCTTTCATCCTTAGAGGCAGCCTTGCTTGTCGTTAGCACACTCACCCCGCCTTTGGGCATCTGTAATCAGACCGCATAGGTGACCCTGGCTTGTCCGGCTCAGTTAGTAGGGTGTGCTCACAGAGCGAAAGGTCACTGTTTCACCTCCCAGTCTGGGCACAGGCCTGGGCTGCAGGTTCAATCTCCAGTCAGAGTTGCATATGAGAGGCGACCAGTCCATGTTTCTCTCTCACATAGATGTTTGTCACCCTCTCTTCCTTCCCCCCTTCCCCTCTCTCTAAAAATAAATAAATAGAAATCTTTAGGGGGAGAAAACAGACCACATAGGTAAATGGTTTTATAGGTGGGACCTGTTATATTTTGGCCTATGGAAATGATTCTGCAATTTTCATACAGCAGAAATTGACATTTATTGTCTACAGTCCAGCGCTGGGAAAGCTTGGTGCTATTCTTTCTAATCTTGGCTCAGGAAATTGGCAGCCCCCTAGCTCCCCAAATGGAAGGAGACTATCCACTAAGAACAAAGGGGGAACTTGGGGGGAAGAAGTTAGGAAGCCCATTTTAACAAATTTCAGGAACCCTTTGAATTGCTGCTCACTTCAGTAGAACTGAAAGTGATCACAGTTTTTAATGGCTACATCAGTTTTTCTCTCATTTCCTTTCCCATTATTTTTTTTAAAGATTTTATTTATTTATTTTTAGAGAGAAGGGAAGGGAACGAGAAAGAGAGGGAAACATCAATGTGTGTTGCCTCTTACATGCCCCCTACTGGGGATCTGGCCTGCAGCCCAGGCATGTGCCCTGACTGGGAATGGAACTGGTGACCTTTTGGTTCCAGCCCGCGCTCAATCCACTGAGCTACACCAGCTAGGGCCTTTCCCATTATTTTTTAAATTTGAGTTTATTTGAATGACGTTGATTAATAAAATTATATAGGTTTCAACTTCTTCCCCATTCTTAAAAAAAGATGTTGTTACAGAATTAGGGGAGAACAATATACAAACAAATGATATATGTTTGTGAATTTTGTACCAGCTCTGAAATAGCTCCAGTCCTTTTTTTAAAAAACACTTTTTTAAAAAGCTTTTATTTATTTATTTTTAGAGAGGGGAAGGGAGGGAGAAAGGAAATATCAATGTGTGGTTGCCTCTTGAGTGTCCCCCTGCTGGGGACCTGGCCCACCACCCAGGCCTGTGCCCTGACTGGGAATCAAACTGTCCTCAGCCTTTAACAGACTGCATTGGCACTGACATTTCTATTCTTCACTTCATGGGTGTTTGATAGTTATTAGTACATCAACATCATGTTTAAGCAGTTAGAACACAAATTGTTTGTATACTCAGTCTTGTTCTTAAAGTTGATTGTAGAATGTTGAGTTTTTGTTTTGTAAATATTATTTTGCTAACCTAAAACTAAAATAATAACAGCTAAATCTAACATTTGAAAGTAAACATATCTTGGTAGGCATAGCACTTCAAGTTTTCTTTAAAGATTTTATTTATTTATTTTTAGAAAGAGGAGAGAGTAAGTGAGAAACATCAATTAGTTGCCTCTTCAGTGCCCCCAGATTGGGACCCGGCCCAATCCAGCCATGTGCCCTGACCAGGAATCAAACCTGTGACCCTTTGGTTTGTGGGACAACACCAAACCCACTGAGCCACACCAGTCAGGGCAGCACTTTGGTTTTTAATGTAAGGATTGGAATACGCCTTAGTTTTGAGTGGTATTTACTCCTTACTCCCAAAGTAGTGGATATGTACTCTTCTGTTCTTGAGCTGTGTCTTAAAATTATTGTTTGTAAAAATGTTTCTTCCACTTTTGGGGTGTAAAAATAATCTTAAAAGTTATATACTTCTGTCTTTTTGTAGATATAAAACAGATGGGAAAGAAAAGGAGGCAGTCCTTGAGGAAGATGATGACCTCTGGGTCAGAATTCGACATCGGCATATTGCAGTTGTATTAGAGTATGTGAACCTATTTTAATTTTTATTCCATATTTTTTGAGCACTAAATATGTGAGAGTACATTTTGTAATCCTAAAGTGTGTCTGTAAAGCATTACACCATTGAAATTTAAGGAATTCTCTCAATTCGACAGGGAAATTCCCAAGCTTATGAAGGAAATTTCATCAACAAAGAAAGCAACAGAAGGAAAGGTAAGAGTGTGTCTTATTTAACTTAAAAAAAAATAATGATGAAGGTGGATTTTAAAATTTATTTAAAGTTTTTATTTTATCTAGTGAACTTTTTTCCAGGTGATTTCTAAGGTACACAAAAGTAGAGAAAATGAACTACTATGTACCCATTACCTAGCCTCAATATTTTGCCTCTCTCGCTTCATTAAAGTTTATTTTTAAAGGGCCAGTTAACTACTTTAATCAATGCATTGTTGCTAGGTTTTTTATATTCACATATAATGTACCTGAATTATGCATAAGTAAAGTGCACAGATCTTAAGTGTATACTGAATAACTTTGGAGTCACAAACTAAATCAAGATATCAAACATTTCTGTCACTCCAGAAAGTTCATAGTAACATAATCTATAAATAAAGAACATTTAGCCTGATCTGTTTCAATCTTTATTTTTACACTACCTTTGTTAGTAGTTAATACCTCCTGTCTCTATAAGGTAGACTAGAACTGGTGATGGAGGATATTATTGTTTCATTCCTAACCTTAGGGGAAATATGCTTGATACTTTTATCGAGTATTGTGCTATTTCTAGGTTATTTAGATAGATACATCATTTTTCAGATTAAAGAAGTTCCCTTCTATTTTTAATTTGCCAACAGATTTTTAAAATCAGGAAGGGTGTTGGATTTCATCAAATGCTTTCTTGGCATCTATTCAGATTTTTTTCTCCTTTATTCTGTTAATGTAATAAATTATTATACAACAAACCCTCCTTGGGTTTGATAAATCACAAAATTCTTGTCCGTTATTTCCTCCCACCTAGATTTTGTCATTTTCTCTCTCTCCTCTCATCCTGGGACTCCATTCACCTGTGTTCTAGATGATTTGATTCTATTCTATATCCCTTACATTCTTCCATTCCTTTTTTTCTCTCGTTTTTTTCTCTCTGCTTTAATTGAATTTTTTATTAACCTGCTTTTGAGTCTGTTGTGTCCAATCTGCTGTTAAATCTGTTCAATGTATTCTTTTTGAAACTGAGTTACAAAGTTCTCCTTATAGTATACGATTGTGCGAGTTTTGACAAATGCATACTACCATATAATCACAATCAAGAACAGTTCCATCCCCACCACCCTGCTGACCCCTGTTTCCTGGTGCCCCTTTATGGACAGCCTTCCTTCCTCCCTCTGATCCCTTGGCCACCACTGATTTGTTTTCTGTCCCTGTAGTTTTGCCTTTTTCAGAATGTCATCTAAATGAAATAAAACAGTATGGCTTTTTTCCTTTCACACAGTGCACTTGATATTCAACCATGTTGCATGTAACAGTAGTTTCGTCACTTTTATTGCCGTGTAGTACTCTACCATGCATTTGTCCCACACTTCATCTGCTCTCAAGTTGCAGAACATTTACTTTTGTGTTTTCAGTTTGTTGGCAATTATGAATAAATTATGGATAAAGCCACTATAAACATTCAGGTTTGTATGGACAGATGTTTCCATTCACTGGGATAAATAATTGAGTGGGATTTCTGGGTTATCTGGTAAATGTATATCTAACTTCTGAGAAACTTTCAAACTGTTTTCCAAAGTGGTTCTTCCATTTTATAGTCCCACCATCAATGGATGACAGTCATTATGTTTTTAATTTTAAATGATGCATTTACTTCGAGGACAGTCATTGAATTTTTAAAAGTAAATTCTACCTTTTCATCCATTTAGTTCATCTTTTCTTCTGTTCTTTTTTTTTTTTTAACACAAATATGTTATTTTGAGGACCTTGTCTGCTAACTTCAACATCTGGATCATCTTGGATCTACTTTTATTGACTATTTTACCACTTGAGTACTGATCACTTTTTCCTGTGTGACATGTATAGTAATATTTTAAGTTATATTATGGATGATACATTGTAGAGGCTCTAGGTGATACCCTCTCTACCGAGTATTGAGTTCTGTTCTGGCAGGCAGTTAACTTGCTGATGATTAACCTTGATTCTGTCGAGACTTCATGTAGGCTTTCTTATGGTGAGTGAATTTCAGCCTCACATGTGTTCTGAAGACGTAGTTCTAGGACGGAATGTCTGGATTGTTTCCTTAGGACTCGACTTTGTGTGGAATCAGAGAGTGCCAGTGTTCTTAGCACTGAGATCCCTCAGAAGTGGCTGTCCAGCATTTAGCCACCCAGCAGTTATTCTCTGCTGGGCCTGTAGGAGTCAGGCCCTGGACATATGCAGTTCAGTATTTGTTTGGCCGGGGACCCAAAGGCAATCCCTCCACACATCTTTGAGTCAGGTTATGACTAGCTCTTCTCTCTCTAGCACCCTTTCCCCCAAATTCTACCTTACCAGCTCCAAACTCAAATCTTTTTTCTTCTCTCCAGAGAAACTTGCTACTTGAACTCTACTTTTTTTCATTTGTTTTGGAAATGTCCCAGGGAAAAGCCAAATTTAGTGTAGAATCACTTTCTGGGCTTTCCTTTGCTCAGTTACCTTAGCTGTGAGCTGTTTTTTAATTCATTACCTGAAAGATGTTTTCTTACTTACTCTGTCCAATTTCATTTTTATTTATGGAGGAAGAGTAATTTTGATATCAGTACTTTATTGTGGTTGGAACTGGAAATTTCTTTAATTTGTTTTCTTAAAAACTTTGTCAGATATTTAGTAAACTGGCAATTATTTAAAACTATAGGACTTTAAAGTTGTTATGTAGAATAACTAAACCATAGGTTTGCTTTTAAAATGTTTGATTTTTTTCTCTAGACATCACTTAGTGCTCTTGCCCAACTGATGAAAAAGATGCCACATTTCCGTAAACAGATTACCAAGGTAAGCCGTATTGTATGTGAGATGCCTTATTTATTTGTCCATCTAGTTCTGTAGTCAGGTTTAGCAGTGCATACTTTATCCTGGCATACTTGCTGTTAGCTGTCCTGTGCACCTTCCTCTAGTTTTGAGAAGTATCGCAAATAACTAAGCTTTCCAATAGTATTCTCTCTATATATAACCTAGCTTTATTCATATTCAATTTAAACATTTTTATATCTTTGTCTTGAATATCCATACAGAGAGTGTTTAGCATTTATCAACTTAATTAGAAAATGCAGGCTATGGCCAGGTAGCTCAGTTGATTAGAATGTCATTGATATGCCAAGGTTGCAGGCTCGATTCCTGGTCAGGGCACCTACAAGAAGCAACCAATGAGTGCATAAATAAGTGGAATAACAAATTGATGTTTCTTTCTCTCCCTACCCCTTTCCTCTCTCCCTTCCTCTCTCTAAAATCGAAAATTTTTTAATAAAAGAAAATTCTGAATTGAATCAACTGGTGATTATTCTACTTGATTCTTTAAATTAATAGTTACATATTAGTAGATTTAAGAGTAGTTAAACTGTGGGGGCAGATAAACTATTAATTTGCTGTTCTAATTATTCTTATGAGTTACTATCCAAATAATCTTTATATACTTTTATCATCTTGTACCCTAATTAATAATCAATAGTATAAATTCAAAAGTTTGCTGCTAGATTTTAAGGACGTCACTATGTTTTTCACCTTGTTTTTCATCACCCGGAACCTGGTACAAATTCAGTGCTTTCATTTTATTTTATGCTGCCTGTTGATTGTCCCTGCCGATCATGTTAATTCTCACTTTTTGCTTTTTGGGCGGCTGTTTCCCTTGCTTTACATGATACCTCCTTTTTCACCCAAGCTCGTATTTTCCTTCAGGCTGGTCTCAGCAGTGTAATATTATCAGTTGCACAAAAAGAAACTAAAATGCTTTAAATCAGCAATTTTCAACTTTTTTCACATGTAAACTAATTACTAAAAGTCTGCAGCACACTGAAAAATATATTACATTTTTTGTGGATCTGACCAAAAAAATAGATATAATTTTGATTCATTCACAGTGGACGGCTGTTTTTGTGTTTAGCTGTTGTCATTTTTTTTATTTGACAGTCTAAGGGAAAAGAGGTCAGTTCCCTTGGCTAAATAGTCCGTTATTATATTTTTTCTTTTTATAATCATGATGACTTATCGAGGTCTTCTTAACATCAGAAGCTATAAAATCTATAGAAAGGCTGGAAATCAGAAGCTGTAAAAGAGATGATATGTCATTTTTTAAGTTCTTTTAAAAAAATTGAATTTATTGGGGTGACATTAGTTAATAAAATTATATAGGTTCAGGTGTACAGTTCTATAATACATCATCTGTATATTATACTGTGTATCCACCACCCAGTGTATTGCTTATTTTAAAAATTCTGTGGCATACCAGCTGCTTCAAATGATTGATTTCTTATGTTTTTCAGCAAGTTGTCCATCTTAACTTAGCAGAAGATTGTATGAAAAAATTCAGACCTAATATAGAAAAGCTCTGCAAAACTGAACAGGTACGTTCAGTCAGAAATACCTATGTTCATAGTAGATTTCCTGAGTGAACTTTCTGAAGTAAAACCTAACTTTGCTCAATACTATGTATTCAGAGTCACAGAACCGCTCTTAGAAGGGGAATCACTAGCCATATTTAATACATCATTGCCCACTGATATTAACAAGTAGCTATACAGCCTCATAGTAAGCAAGTCCCTCCTAACTGGTGATGATGCATTTTTGGTTAAATGGGGTGATTTGAGTGTTTGGTGCATCGTTTCGGTAGCACTGTTGGCAGGCATTCCTCAGGGGCGTAGCGTCGAACGCAGTGCCCTGCAGCGCACTGCACAGGCTCCTATAACTTGTCTGAGAGGCTCCTCTGGGTGTGAGGCTCTTAGGTCAGCACTGACTGATAGGAATAGAATGCAAGTCACACATCATTTTAAATAGCCCAGGAGTCATGTTAAGAAGGTAAAAAAACCAACCAAGTGTAGTTAAGTTTAATAATATATTTGACTTGACCCAATCAGTACATCCAAAATGTTATCATTTCAACATGTAATTAATATAAAAAATTTATTAGTGAAACATTTTACACTTTTTCTCATACCAAGCCTTTAGAATCTGGTGTAGCACATCTTAATTCAGCCTGGCCACGTTTCAGGTACTCGCTAGCCACATGTGGTCATGGCTGCCCTGTTCACATAGGTGTATAGTGGTGGTTTCCTTTTTCTCTGAGTTATTTTTTGACTTTTTACGTTTTTTACCATTATAGTTTACAAGTGATACCTACATGTTCCTGTGAAATGCCATTAATATTCCATTAAATTTGACAAGATTTTATAAATAGATGTTTTAACTGAAAATGAATTCAGGTTATGGACACTGACTGTGTCATTTTCAATAAGGACCTGGCACTTGGAACTGATGCAGAAGGACAGAAGGTGAAAGATTACATGCGAGTGCTTCTCCCAGTTCTCCTCAACAAAAGCCACGACAATTATGATAAAATACGGGCAATCCTGCTCTATATCTTCAGCAATAATGGTAATGGAGACTTTGTTCATTCTCATGACTGTGTTAGAGTCCTCAGCTCAAAGCTCACGCTACGTTAACTGGTTTACTGAAGATCATAAGAGAGTGTTAGAAAATTCAAAGGTAGTAGCTAAAGTTGGTTAAAATAAATAGAAGGAAAAATGAAATTGGGAGAAGACTGAAGGGTATGTAATTTAAGTGTTTGCTTTTTGTTTAAAAAAGCATTATTCATGGGTATTACCTAAAACCTGGAAATGATTATGGTAGCAACTATATGATTCATATTTTTACTCATCTCAGGAACTACAGAAGAAAATTTGGACAGGTTGATCCAGAATGTCAAGATAGAAACTGAGAGTGACATGATTCGTAACTGGAGTTACCTGGGTGTTCCCATCGTCCCCCCGGTGAGAAAGCTCACATTCTGCGGGTACTTGTGTGTGTGCCTGTATGGCTGTTGGCATTAACATATATATATATAAAAAGAGGGGAAGGGAGGGAGAGAAACATCAATGTGTGGTTGCCTCTCACACGCCCCCTCCTGGGGACCTGGCCTGCAACCCAGGCATGTGCCCTGACTGGGAATCGAACTGGTGACTCTTTGGTTTGCAGTCCAGCACTCAATCCACTGAGCCATACCAGCCAGGGCCTGAATTTATATTTTGTGGCTTCTGTTGCAATTTTCTATTTTATGCTTTTCACTTTATGATTCCTTTATAGCAGATTTTGAAAGAACTTTATTTAGAATCTCCTTCCAATCAAGTTTTATAGCACTTTCAAGTAAACATATTTTCTGATACTATTATAAATTTTATCATTAAAAAAATACTGTGAGGTTGTATGTCCGCACCTACACAGATTATTTGAGTAGGCACTTCCAGTCTTAGTTTTAAGTAAATACAACATAGTGTTTGCTGTCAATTAAATATCTTTGTTAGAAAATTTAATAAAAATATCACTAAATAGAGTATTGGTTTTTAAATTTTTTCCTTTAACTATATTAGTCCTCACAAGGCAAACCATTGCGAAGGGATCGGTCTTCAGAGGAAACTTTTCAGCTCTCTCGATGGACACCTTATATCAAAGATGTTTTGGAGGTAAAATTCATTACATTCTACTAATACCCTGAGTGCCCATCTGTAGAGTCTTCTAAACTGTCTGTAAGTTTATCTGTCTGTCTGAGTGTATCTCCGGGCAGGGCAGGAATTCTCTGCAGTCCTGGGAGGCTTCTTAAGAGAAGGCTGGACCTGGGGTCACAGGAGGACAAACACACACCACTGACTGCCTCCAAATAAATAAATAAGTAAAAATAAGCACACGCATTTTTAAGGGAAAAAACTGCTGCTGTTTTAAATAACTATATGTAGCAGAAATACAAATAATTTTTTGAGTGAAAGTTCAAAACAAAACATTTGTACATGACCACTATTAGAAAGTGTTAGACTCCAATATTTATGATTAAAATGTAAACCTATTGTTTGCCATTATATTCAATGCATGGTTTATGCTTTTAGAATTGTTCGCTTTTAGAAAATATTCAGATATAGGAAATTAGAAAATAAACTAATAAAAATTATACTATGAACTTGGTCAAATCATGACATTGACTCTTGTCATAATTATGTAGCTCTTTATTTCAAATTTCCTTTGACTTAAACTGCAATTTGTACTTTCCTGGGATTTATTTGGGTACAATTTATTACTATGATTTTTCTGTTTTGCTTGGCTAATTTTATGTCACTCACACATGCTTAATTATAGATGAAAAGTTGAAAGAATTGAGACTATTTTCTGTAGCATAGATTTTTTTTCCCTTATAACAAAGATGTAGAACTAACTAGTTTTATTGTGGTTTTTTGGCTTGTATTTTTAAAGCAAGAATTGACATTCTCAAACCCTTTAACAAAGATTTGCATGTCAAACTCAAAAAATCCACTTTTGGCTCAGTCGCAATCTAAGACCTTCAGGACTTCTCCTGAAGCCTGGTTTCTTCACTTGCTGCAATCTTACTGAAGTATTCTTAGACTACTGAGTTCCTTGTGGCCATTCATTAATGCCATTTGTACAACCACGCTGTAAAGCAGTGGTCCCCAACCTTTTTTGATCATGCACACTTAACTATAAAATGAACATGAGCCCACAGCATGACTATTTATAAAGTATATGTTACTGTACTAATAAAACATAATCTACGTATACAGTATATCCATATACATGAGTATATCATAGAATGTATCCCTACAATTTCTGTCAGCCAAATTACCCATTTGGGTGGTCTTGTGTGCCCCTGGGCCAGCATGTACCTCTTGTTGCAGAGTCATTGCTCTGAAGGTCAAGGCCTGGGCTCCTGGTACCTGAGAGGAACATCAGGACTCAGGCAGTAGTTAGAAATGCCTAGCACTCGCAACACAGAGATCCTGATGAGATGTCTGGAATCCTCACACTAATGTGGGGTCCTTCCCAAAGAAGAAATGCAGGTATCCCCCCAAGTACCTGTTTAAAAGTTAGTCACTGTGTCAATTTTTGAAACAAGATTTGTGAGGTTCAAAGAAAGGGCTAACCTTATTTTATTAAATATTCATATATTCTTACATTCCTTAATTGAAATACAGATTTTGAGATTTATGTAAAACAAGTAAATAAAAATATCTTAGAATTTACATTTTCTTGATAGTGTGAATAACTCTTTCCTGCCCTAGGATGCCATTGAAAATAGATTAGACTCAAAGGAATGGCCGTATTGTTCACAGTGTCCAGCAGTGTGGAATGGCTCAGGAGCTGTAAGGTAAAACCTGTAACTCAGAGGCAGTGAGTAACATTTTGGTATGATACTGCAGACTAATTAAAATGGCACACAGGTGTTCTTTGTAATGGCAGCTCTGCTTGAAGCATATCAAAAACTTACGAGGCACTTTCTCTTTAACTTGTTATAAACAAGCGCAGGAAAGCAATGTGAAAATGTCCAGCAAAAAGTCTCCAGCATGAAACTTTGTAAACCACTTTTGTTCAAACAGTCGCAGCACCTTCTCCACACATTGCACGTCATTTTTTGTGTTTCAGTTGTGTTTTTACCTTTCTTGAAATAATAAAGCATAATATGCTGAAAATGTTGTGTATTTTTCTTCCATCTTCAGTATTAAAGTGGCTACACAAAAATTTACCAATATTGATGTTTTTTAAAAATCCACGCTGATATGGCAGTGCACACTGAGAAGACTTAATTTAAGATCTACCCTCTTAGTGAATTTCAAGTATACAATTTTTAAAGAATATTTTATTTATTTATTTTAGAGAGGGGAAGGGAGGAAAAAAGAGAGGGAGAGAAACAGCAATGTGTGGTTGCCTCTTGTGTGCCCTCTGCTGGGGACCTGCCCTGCAATCCAGGCATGTGCCCTGGCTGGGAATCAAACCGGCAACTCTTTGCTTCATAGTCCAGGCTCTCAATCCACTGAGCCACACCAGCCAGGGCAGGAAACAGTTTTGTTAACTAGTTACCATGCAGTACATTAGATCTCTAGAACAGTCTAGAGATCTTCTAGAACATTCTTCTTGCATAACTGAAACTTGGTGCTCTTTGACCAACATCACCTCATCTCCCCCTCTTCTCAACTGCTGGAAAGAGGGAGAGAGACATTGATGTGGGAGGAAAACATCACTTGGTTGCCTCTCGTATGCACCCTGACCAGGGACAGAACCTGCAACCTTTCAGTTAACAGGATGACACTCCAACCAATTGAGCCACCCTGGCTAGGACCACATCACATTTCTTTATCCATTTGTCTGTGGAGGAACACTGAAATGGTTTTCATATCTTGGCTGTTGTGCATAATGCTGCAGTGAGCATGGGAATGCAGATGTCTTCAGTGTCTCCTACTGCGGGGTTCCAGCAGGGGGCGTGCCAGCACCACGGCAGCTCCAAATTGTTACCTGCAACCTCCCCCCCCTCCCCTGCCGTATCTTTATTTTTTCAGTGCTACTGCCTGCATTTCTTTAACTTCAAGAAGTCATAGACTTTTCAGGTATATTATTTCTTCATGTGCAATAAGAGATAGTGTTAGCTCTATTTTATAGGTAAAGATGCTGAATGATTTGTCGAAACTACCAGATCAAAATTAAACTTGAAGCGGGTTGTCCTGTGTAATTCTTGGTGCCCAGTCCTCTCATAATTATTTCCTTAAAATCAGTGTAACAGTGCCAGCTTTGAATTCGCTCTAGTTAGGCTGTTTGAAAAGTCTATAAACAGTAAGGCTTTGGAAGGTTTTGTAATATGTTTGTGTTTTTTTACTTTTTAAGTGCTCGCCAGAAACCCAGAGCTAATTATTTAGAGGACCGAAAAAATGGGTCAAAGCTGATTGTTTTTGTCATCGGAGGAATTACATACTCTGAAATGCGTTGTGCTTATGAAGTCTCTCAAGCACATAAGTCCTGTGAAGTTATTATTGGTAAGACTTGTTCTATTTCTTTAAACAAACTCAATGAAAAAAAAACAACACACAAAACCCTAAAACTTGTATTTTACATTTAGAACTAAATTGTTGAAAGCAAAACAACTTGTTTTAGTCATAATGTGTTTTATCTGATTTACTGGAGTTTTCTTGATTGTTTGATAATATTTTTTAAAAATCCTGTGTTTGAGAGAATGAGTTTCAAAATATTACATTCCTTTTTAAAATTTTTTTGTTTATCTTTAGAGGGTAAGGGGAAGAGAGAGGGAGAGAAATATCAATGTGTGTTTGACTCTTGCGCGTCCCCTGCCGGGAACTGGCCTGCAACCCAGGCATGTGCACTGACTGGGATTCAAACCAAGATCCTTTAGTTTGCAGGCCCGTGCTCAATCCACTAAGCTACACCAGCCAGGGCTCAAAATATTATATTCTTTAAATATTATTACATATGTACTTTAAAATGTTATGTTCCATACTTTTTTGCTGTCATTATTAAGTATTTTGAGACGTTTCTACAGAAATATTTTGAATTATGTTGTGAATGTGCACCTGACGTTGTCAAGGCCTGTATGTGGCATTTAGTTTTTCCAGTTTCAGTCAAAGCCACTGATTGGTAAGCTGTCCCGACTCAGGCCTCAGCACTCAGCACTCAGCACTGCTTGATGGCTCTCTGCAATGGAGCTGTGACTGTTCTGTGTGAGGGTGGAGTAGCCTTCAGTTTTGCTTTTCAGTTATCAGTACATAGTGCAATGGAGGCACAGCACCAGGAGGGGGCAGTGTTTATGACAGTTTAGTGAGCATGCTCAGTGAAGAGGAAGCTTGAAATGCTGCAGTGTAGGCAGATTTCAGTGTCTTACAGGAATTTTGTTAAATTGCCCCATGCTTCTAAACTTTGCATATTGGAGGGACAGGAGAATACAGTTAGCCAAGGAAAATCAACGTAACTGCTGACCTCTGAGAATTTATCTTTTTCCTTACCAGGTTCTACACATATTTTAACACCCAAAAAGCTGTTGGATGACATAAAGATGCTGAATAAATCCAAGGATAAAGTCTCCATTATTAAGGATGAATAGTATTTGTGGGCAGTGGCGGTTCTTACTAATACTTTCAACTAAACTCCAATTTGAACAGTGTAAATATTTTACAGAATAATGACTTTTCAAATACATTTCCTAAAGAACTGCTTCTGATTACCTATAACTGGATTTGCCACTTTTAATAATTTAAGTATTGTTAATACTTTGCAGATGATAAGAACTATTAAAATGCTTTTAAAAGGAAATTTTTTCACCTTTGGAACAAAATATAAGAGTTGTGGGTAATTGTTCACAGCCGTCTGTGTACATACTAATTACTTATTACTTGTTTTATGTTGAAATACAGTCTTTGGAAAAGAATGATTTTAAATGAGAAGGTTATAAAATTAAAAACTGTAAATGTGTATGTATGATAGATTTTTCTATAGATGCACTTTTTTCCAACTGAAATTGATAGTTTCTTTTATGTGTAAAATAATCATAAAATTAGAATGATTTCACAGTATATACTGTCTTGATAGATACTTCTAAAGAACACAATTTTATATAACTTTGAGTTCATATATGTTTAAATTTGAAAGACAAAAATAATCATGAACATTCTAAGAGAAAATAAATACATAGTTATAAAAATTATCTTTGGTTTTTGGAGGGTATATATAGGGGAAGTTAGGAAGTTTAAAACTCCTAAGCTGGGAAGCTGGAAAGAAGAAAAAGAATGCACCATCATCTTCCCACCAAGATAACCCATTGACTTTTTAAAAAGTAACATAATATATGTGTAAGGTTGGATAATACTGTCACATACTGCTTGACAACAGGGGTACATTCTGAGACATGCGTCATTAGGAAAGTTTGTCCTTGTGCGGACATCATCGAGTACACTTACGCCTGGGTAGTACAGCCCGCTGCACACCGGGGCTGCGTGGTGCAGGCTGCTGCTCGCAGGCTGCCAGCCGGTCCAGCACGTTACTGCACAAAACAACACGAGATTCGGTCAGGCACGAGAGAAAGTGATCCAGTCGAGAAACAGTAAACACGGGACGTACGGGGCTGCTCCTGGCGTAACACAACATACTGTGTTTTACAGAACGCTTTTTTATAAGTAACAGGAGTACACTCTAAAACAACAGTAGCCCTGGCCAGATAGCTCAGTGGGTTAGAGCGTCATCCCAATCCACCAAGGTTGCGGGTTTGATCTCCAGTTGGGCACATAGAGAAAGCAACCTGCAAATGCATAAATAAAGGAGCAATAGCAATAAACTGATGTTGCTAGCTCTCTTTAAAAAAATAAAAAATTTTAGCAGTAAAAAGTATAGTAAATACAGAAAATAACAGTCGTTTATTACCAATTACTGTGTACTGTACATAGTTTTATGTGCAGTACTTTTATACAGGTGGCAGTGCAGTAGGTTTGTTACACCAGCAGCACCACAAACAAGTGGGCCGTGTGCTGCACTGTGACGTGGTGGCTGTAGTGTCCTGGGTGATCGTGGTTTATCGGCTCCAGTATAATCTCATGGGAGTACTGTCGTTTGTGTAGCTCGTTTTTGACCAAAACATCATCATGCAGCCCATGACCGTGTAAGGATGTGTCTGTAGGTTACACAAATGGAATGTGTGTGAATACGTATGAAGGACATGTTACACAAAGGGAACATCTTCATTTTAAATCTGCCCTTGTATCTGGCCTTAGTGTTCTGTCATATGATGGGCCATAATTTTTTTAATCCTTACCTGAGGACATTTTTTCATTGCTTTTAGGGAGAGAGGAAGGGAGAGTGGGGAGAGAAAGAGGGAGAGAAACACTGATATGAGAGAGAAATATCAGTCAGTTGCCTTCTGGTACACATCCCACTGGGGTTCAAACCCACAACCTGGGTGTGTGCTGTGACTGGGAATCAAACCTGCGACCTTTTGGTCTATGGGGTGATGCTCTAAACAACTGAGCCACACCAGCCAGGGCTGGAACATAATTTTATATATTACTTGTCTTATGAGATTTGACTTTACAAATAATGCACCGTTTGGGTACATACTTTGCAAACTTCCACAAATATATCTACAATATAAATTTCTAGCAGTGACATAGCCGGTCATAGTATTTCCAGTACCAATAAATATACCATTTTTAATTTTTATGTAGATAAATCCATCACTTTTCCTTTGTTGGCTTTTGAATTTTATGTTATACATTAGATTTGCCTTTTGCACCCAAGGTTATCAAATCACCCATTGTTTCTTCTAGAACATTTTGATACTTATTTTATTTTTTACAGGTAACTCATTCATCTGGAAATGATTTTAGTATGAGAATAGATGCTAGATAGTGTCTCTTAGCATTTGGCACTGTGTCCCGTGCCTCTCCATCCCGTGCCACAGGGATGAAAGGCTAACAAGGAAGTTTTGCAGACTCAAAGGTAAGTAGGGTTCTGAACAGATTAGATTCCACCAGTAACTTGCACTTGGTCAAGATCTGGGCAACGAGAGACTGAGGCCATGCACCCTGGCTGTGCCAGGGGACAGGAGCTGTTTGTAGCAGCCAGACTCTGCGCTATACTGTGTGTCACCTGCTGTGTGGTTATGAGGCAGTGCTGGTGGCAGCGTCGCTACCTTTCTGTGCCCTGGGTCACAGTTGATGAGACCGCCTTGAGTCTGAAAGTGTGGTGACCTGAGTTTCTGTTCCTGCAGCTTTTCCCTATTTTTTTTGAGGACCTACTTTTCTGTATGAAATCCCTTGCTGCTTGAAGTAACCTGGAAAAATTTGTTCCCCCAGTGAACCCTGACCGACACGGTGTTTACCAGGGATCCAGCTTGCTTGCTTTCTGGACAGCCAGATATTGCACCAAATTTTACTGGGTTTCCCCTCTTTCCCCTGCTAATCTGAAACACCACCTTTACTGTAGACTAAATTTTTATTTGTATTTTTGGTCTATTCCTGAATTCTCTTCTATTGATTTTAGTTTATATTTCTTTTTTCCTATTCAAATTCATCTTATGTTTTAATGTAAGATGGATGTAATCTCTCCTCTACCCTCGGTTAAATTACTGTTATTTTTTCAGAAAATTTCTGGCTACTACATTTTTCTAAATGAACTTTAGTGTCATTTTCTTAATACCAAAAGTTACTTTGGTGTTTTCATTAGGTTTGCAGTAAATTTATACGTTAACTTAGGGTAACTATTAAAACTTGATATTCAGGAATGTGGGATATCCTTTCACTTAACTTTATGGCTTTCAGAATAATTTTCTTCAATATAGGTACTACATGTTGCCATAATATCTTATTATTCATGGTTCCATATGAATTGGGTCTTCTATTATTTTCAAACAGATTTTTTTATAAAAAAGTTTTTGCTTTTGATCTATAAATTTCATAACTTGCTATTTTACTAAGTAATGATAGTGAAACAATAATATGCAAATGTTTTCTTTGTGCTCTGTGTGTGCTAGGCAGCATTTTTAAGTGCTTGGATTACCTCATTTAGTCTTTTCACCTAATTCTATGAGGAAAGGTACTGCTATCATCTCTACTTTAAAGCTGAAGAAACTAAGGCACAAAGTTTTATAATGTAACCCGGATGTGTATGTGGGGCGGAAGGCTAGACATTAACAAACAGCTCCCTCTGCAGATTGAGCGTGAGAGCATTAAGTACATTGCCAGTGTGAGAGGGTTAGTTTTTGCTGTCTGCATTTTATCTTGTATCCCTTGGTAACTATGTGTCTGGGGTTAGATTACCTGTGGGACAGAGATTTAGACCAATCGAATGCCCTGTGGCTAGTGGAACTACCGGTGTGATGACAGCAAACATTGAGCCAGTCACTTAACACCTCAGTGATCACTTCACCCTTTCGCAGTGATGTGAGATCCTTTTGAGGCCTAAATCTGTATCGCTTGTGTATTTTCGGCTTGGAATTAGAGGCACTTTGTTTTCCAAATCTGTTACTGAAGACATAAGAAATCATCTCACAGAAATTCCTTAGTATAAGCTGATCTCTCACCCCCAGAACAGCATTTACAGATGCTGCTATCAGGACCCTGGGAAAAACTGCTGTGCAGCTAACCGGAACCACGTGTGTGCTGTCTGTGATGCACAGTGTCAATTCCTGTTGAAGTGTGCTTGGCCTGTCAGGTGTGGTGAGTTCACATTGCTCAGCTGCATGCCCAAAAATCAGAGACGAAAAATGTCAGCAGTTCACATCACACAACAATGAGCCCAAGAGCCCAGATGTGGGCGGTTAATGTCGTAAGATGTGAGGTGTGTGTAACTCACCCATGGTGGGGGTGTCTGGTACTGTTGGAATCCCATCAGGGTGCGGGCAGATTTCTGTTAAAAATCAAAGGAGCAAGAAATGTCTTCCTCCACAATAAAATTTCTACCAAACATTTGGGTATTAAATATACACAAATATATATTCAGATTTAGTAAGAATTAGGTCTGTTTTAAATAGTTCATTAACAATAAGATTATAATAGAAGTGCATGATAGCAGGGTTTTCCTTTGGATGCTCTGACAGTTAACTAAAGTGGGTGGCTAGAACCTTCTAAAGAGGAGAAGGCATCTACACATGGTCCCCCCATCCTGCCGTGAGCACAGAGGCCCCTGAGCTGTGGGAGCTGCCAGGCGCCTTTGCAACACCGCTGTCCTTAGCTATCCTGAGCCCTGTGACTCAGCATTGCATGAGAGACAATCCCTTTTGCTTAACAAGCTTGTTTTTCTGGTTTATCACTGCAGCAGAGTTAGAAGAGAGGCCTATCAGCGTTGACACAAAGAAGGTGCACAAGGGAGGAGACAGCCAAGGCTACAAAATCAGTAAATATAAAATTATCTTTTTAAATCAGAGCCTACCTAGCGTGCCTTAAGGATGTTGCCCTACTTCTGTTCCTTGTATTAGTCATGCTGCTGTGGTTGCTCATGATCATCATCAAGGAAATGCAAAGTTACGTGCAGAGTACAGGTTAATAAAGCAGAGATGGGTCGTAATTAAGTAAAAAATGATTACAGCAGTTTCTCTAATGGTTAATTTGAGGGGTTTGGAGCATTAATTTGTGGTAGTCCTTTCTAACCTGGGTTCCATAGATTTGTTTCAGAGGTCCATGAACTTCTAAAAATTGGGTGCAAAGCTGTGGGTATTCATATATCGCTTTCCCGTGGGAGAGTGGAGCCTAAGGGAGGGAGACTCTACAGGTTTCACCAGATCCTCAAAGAGGAGCGAACCTCAAAAAGGTTAAGAACTAATGAATCGTCCTTACACTTCCAGCCAGAGAACTGTGTGATTGGAAACCTGGAGATAAGATAGTGAAGCTTGGCACACAGGATAGGTTATTGAGTTGTGATTAAAATTAGGTACGTGATGAATCTAGAAGCCTCTTGGCACGTATACAGTTTAAGCTCTTTTTTTCTCTCAAAAATACTACTATCGGTCTAAACTCTCTTCCCAATAGTGCCACAGCTTAAAGTACATTGGACCACAAAGTTGGAGGAGTCTTCAGTCTGGCCTCTGCTTCATCTCTTCAAGGCACCCGAAACCAATTTCCAAGCCCCAGAGTTAAAAATAACCGGTTCTCCAGCCAGCTAGACAAATAGCAGCTGCCATGGTCACCACAAAAATCCTCCAAGTGGGAAGGAGTCAACTCTTCTTCCCTCTGAGCAAAGCTCTGGGGGTGGAAACCATTTCTTGAATGTTTGGAGTGAATGGAGGCCTCAGGAAAGAGGGAAAGAACCAATAATTTGCTGCCCTGTCATTTAGGAGGTATAAATCTGTCTTCAAGACACAAACCCTCACCTTATTCTGATTTCTACAAAGTTACTGAATCCATGAGACAATTGTAATCACTCGTCCTCACTTTTGCCCCAAATGTCATGAACTTAGAGCTAGAACTATCATTTTTGCATATTCTGACTTCATATTTGATTAAAGATCAAGAGATCCTTATAAATTATTTAATCAGATAATTTATAAACATTTTGTAAGAACTTCATATGGTACAGAAAGTGAATGTAAAGATTCTCCACTTCCCATTCTAGCTGGTGTGGCTCAGGGTGGAGTGCTGGCTTGCAAACCCAAGGGTTGCTGGTTCAATTCCCAGTCAGGGCACGTGCCTGAGTTGCAGGCCAGGTCCCCAGTAGGAGGTGCACAAGAGGCAACCACACATTGATGTTTCTCTCCCTCTCTTTCCCCCTCCCTTCCCCTCTCTCTAAAAATAAGTAAATCTTTTTTTTTTTTTAATCCTCCACTTCCCCCAAAACTCCCACTTCTGCTTCTTAGAGGTCCACTGCATATTTTGTGTACTTTCCAGAAAGTAGATATGCCCTTTGAGAAAAGTAGACAGAAGGTCATAGGAATACATTAGGCATTTAATCTGCCTCATTCAGTGGCTGCAGAGTATTGGTTGTGTGACTGTCTCTGTTCCAAGAGGTTGTTTAGATTCGTTCCCGCTGGGGCTGGTCCCCCAGGACTGCGTGACCGTCCTCCCACCGTGCCCAGGCCTGCTCAGTGAGTCACCTGTGAAGTACACTGCCAGGGGAGAAATTGCAGCTGGAGGGGTGTGCGGGTAGAGCTTGCAGAATTTGACGAGAGTGTGTAAAAACTTATACTTCCACGAGCAGTGTGTGAGAGTAACTGTCTCCCCACCCTCTCACCAACACTGGGTTTTCCAAACTTACTTTTGCTATACTTATAGATAAAAGTATATTTTATTGTTCTGACTTACTTTATTATGAGTTAGACATAGCATTTTAAAATGAATACTTACTTGGATTTTAAGAGTCAGAGGTCCCTTTTTTCTCACTTAAGTACTTTATTCCCCAGCCCCATTTCTTATTTTGGCATTTTCTCTAGAAATTCATCCTCCTAAATTGTGTAATAAGTAAAATATTTGGGGGGGAAGATCAAGTTTTCTTTGGATTTTTCAAGAAATCCTTGGTCGCCTTGTGTCAAACTAATATTTCAGTCGATTCCTCCATCTCTGCACTTTGGCAAGATCTTCTGCAATAGTTCTAATCATTCGGTCAGTAGTTTCTTTCAGAACGATCGCTGTCCTGAGGGCATTATCCAAAGAGGAGTTTAAACCCTGCAGAGGAAAGTCCACACAGTGTGGTTACGTAACTGGACCACCGGGCCTATTGACTGGGTTCTCATTAAACGCTGCAAGGTGGAATTTTTGTGTGGAGTGCTCTGTTCTGCTCTGGCCTGTTTCTGTTTTTGAGAGTTGGTTTCCTAGGAAACCAGTTTGCTGTGGAAGATATTTTTTAGGGCAAGGGACAGAAAAAAGACTGACACATGACTGATGAGCATGAATCAGAGGGTGAGGCCAGCAGCCTGCTGGGGCTGTTCCCCTGCAGTAAGGAGAGAGGGCCGTGAGAAAGAAGAAGAGCCCCTGGGGCCAGTGCCAGGTGTAAACACCCGAAAGGGCAGGGTTATAGCACATGTGTGTAGGAGCATTTGACGGTGGCCTGGGATTAGGTTACTGATCTGAGAATTGGATGTGGCTGGCAGCTGTAACCCCAGTGTCGCTGGGACAGATGTGCCAGCAGCTGGGGACAGTCTCCTGTGCCTTCTGCCTGGGCCAGGGGACTTCTGAAGCTGAGGCACTGTCCACAACGCTGATTCCCCAGGAGCCAGTTCGGGAAGAACCCAGAACCCAGCATGTGGCTGCTCAGGCCATGTGTCCATCGTTAGTGAGCGCACAGACCTTTTAGCAGAGCATCTTTTGATGCCACCATACTGTGAAAAGTTAAAGGCCATCAGTGTCATGGTCATCAAGACCAGGCTTACAAGCTGCAAGGGTTCTAGAACGTATCTTCTGAGTCCTCACCTCAGATTTTGTTTCTTCGATACTGCTCAGGTTGCCGGAGGATTTGCTTCCGGAACTCCTGCAGTAGTGGAAATGGGGCGAGGATGAAGCCAGGTCTGAACTGTAGGCCCTGAAAGCCGTAAGATTGTTTCTGGAAGGCAAAAAACAGCTTGGCGTCTGTGGGGAGCGCCCTCCACCCTGTGGTGCCATGTGCCTGAGTGTGTGTAGGTGGGGAGCTGGGCACACTGGGCCTGCTGTGGCTCTCGTGGTCCCTTTGTGGCTGACCACAGCTGAGCTTTGGAAGGGGGTTCCCATGGCCCTGAAGGGCGTTTCTGCCCAGCATCTGCCTCCTCTTCTGTTGGCACAGAAAGATGCAAAACTCCATGAAGGGATTTTATTCCGTTTTCATTGTTTTGGGGGCAACCTTCTACCCTGCATATTTATGAAACAAATGCATACCAGTCTGCCAAATGCAGACCCTCTCTGAGTTGAATTCATTGTAGCACCTCCTTCCGTAAACTGCTTCCCTGGGCCGGGACACTAACTGCGAGTCTGTCTCGGCGAAGGCCCTGCCTCTGCACTGGGTGACCGGGGGGTCCCAGGGCTACTGCTGCGGTGCCGCCCACTGCACACACATGAGGAACTTTCACTCACAGACGCTGGGTGAAGGGCACTGCCTGGAGTTGCAGTCCGCACAACCCTGGCTGCACAGGCGAGCTGTGGAGCCATCCTCACATCGCCCCCTGGCTTCGGAGTCCTCGTGCTACACGTCACTTCTTTGGTGCAGTCTGACTTCAAGTGCTTGTGAATCAGCACCTTCCTCCCTCCCTCCTCCCTATCATATTAACATCAGCTGGATCTGCCCTCAGGTTGAGAGAGGTGATTCAGCGTCAGGGCCCCAGCTCAGGAAGAGCTCTGGATGGGGCAGTTGGAAAGTGTGGGCTTCAGAGTCCCGTGTCCCCACTTGATGTCTGTCACCCCCTCAGCAATAATAGCCATCACTTGCTGAGTGCTTATGAGCCAGGTCCCTTTCTCAGTGCTTTCAGTGGACTGACTCGGTCCTTGACGAGTTCAGCACCACTGTTACTCCCACTTGGGGAATGACGGAGGAACACAGTGGGGATAGGATGCACAGGGAGGTCAAGCAGCCTGCCCGAGGACGCCAAGTTAAAATGCAAACCCAAGAAGTCTCCAGAGGCCACATTCTTAAGCAGTAGTACCCCACTATGGCAAAGGGCAGTGGGTTCAGACCGAGTGTGACATCAGAGCCTGAACTCTTCACCACTCTGCAACACTATTGGTTCCTCACACAGCCCCCGAACGCTAGACTCTCCATTTCTACCACCCTCGACAGGCTACCATCACCTCCCCTGGACCACTGCTCTAGCCTCTTACTTGGCCTCTGTGCTCAGTCTTTGACTCCTCTTATCATCCTTCCTCACTTCGTAGTTACAATGATCTCTTAAAACACTAAAAATCTTTTAAACCTCCCTGGTTAAAAATCTCCATTGATCTCCCATTATGCCTAAGAGTCTGAAGTCCTGTAGCCAACAAGCCCCAAAACAGCTGGACCCTGCTCATCCCATCAGCCCTCCCTCGCCGGCTCCACCTGTCCCACTGCCTGTCCCTTTTATAAGGCTCCAGCCACACCGTTCCTGGACTCGCTAAGGGCCCCTCCACATCAAGAAGCTCTTTTAGACCAGAATTCTCCCCTGTCCCTCCCTACTGCCCCTTGCTAGTTTATCCACATGTATTCTTTGGAGCTGAGCTTCCCTGAACCCCAAATTAGGTAACCAAGCTGAATGCCCTTCTCGGCATTCCCAAACACTGCCACCTCTACCAAAAAAGTGAGCTCCACGAGAGCAGGGACAGTCATCAACTTTGTCACTGTGTCCTCAGCAGCTAGCACAGCGCCCAGCTGTTGGCACTGTAATACTTGTTGGGTGAATAAGTGATTGAAATATTAGCAGACCTGGGTTTGCATCCTGCCTCTGCTGCTTAGGATCTGGATGATCTTGGGCAGGTAGTTTAATGCACTAAGCACATAGCCAACCAATGGGCAGGCCTTTTTGTTATCAATACCAATAATAAAATAATACTTACTTTCCTGGTATGGGCTCGTGTTCATCCTGAGAAGGTTTTGAATTCCTGTGCTCGGAATAGATCCAGTTTGGTTTTGAACAAGCTGAAAAGTGTTGGCTGTGATTAAATTCAGAGCATCAAAAATGGTCCCTGAATGGTGGCTATGTGGGTGTCATTTCCTGAACTTTTTTGTGTGATTTAAATATTTCATAAAATTGGGGAGCATGGAAAACAAGGAATTTTCTATCTAGTATTCTGAATTCAGGAAGAGAAACTCAGTTTTTAAAAGGAGCGTTATTAGCAGACCAGTGACCAGGTGTCTAGGTTTCCTGGGTGCTGGCCACACGACCCGGGCATGCCGTCTAACTTTTCTGGGCTCGACGGCTTCACATGGAAGTGGAGGGGTAATGGCTTGCAAAAGTTTGAGCCCACTGGATTTCTGAAGTCCTCTCGACTCTAGGAACAAGGATTCTAGCGGAAACTAGCCAGTAAGTCACTTAAGACAATTCTAGAAAATAGAGACTGAACAGAGAAGATAAAGAGATTGAAGGTCCCCCCCCCCCCAATCCCCTCCTTTCTCCTCTATCTTCCCCCTTCCCTCCCAGGCCTCTTGTCTCATTCACTGGTCTGTAGTAGGTAGGCTTCACCTCCCTCACGAGGATCCCGTTTGACAAGGGGACTGGGAGAGGTTGCCTGTCCCTCAGGCATGGACAGGGGGCAGGACCACAGAGTCCAAGTTTAGTCACACCAACCACCAGCCCCATGTCGTGAGGCACAGACACTAGTGAGCTCAGTCTTAGTCCTTGGGTAGTCTCCAAGTATGATTGTGGGTTTGATTTGAAACCTAGAAACTCAGAGTTGGAAAGGGCCATGGGATCATCTGGTGCAGTTCCATCTAGTCCAGTCCTCACATCCACAATGTCCCAGCAGAGCACATTGTGTCCCTGTCTACAGAGGGGCCTTGAGACCTCCCGCGACAGCCCACCCCATTTTCTGTTGCAGTTTCCGTGATGTCTATGCTCCCGGCCATGGCACGCTTACTACCGGAGTCCAAGACTGCAGTTCAGACGACCCGGTCGCTTCCCTCACCCACCTGTTGGAATAACAGGTTCCATGAGCTGCAGACCCAAAGACCAACAAGATAGGAAAGGAACCTGCTCTGTCACTTCTGTGGAGTCGCTGACTGCCAGCTGGACAGTCCACCCACCTGGAGGGTTTGGCAGCTGAGGTCAGTCAGGCAAAGGGCCTTGAGTCCTAAACATTGGCAGTTGTGAGAGATGAGAGTCGTTTGCTCTGTCCGCAGAGAGAGAGAGAGAGAAGGAGCTCTGAAGGTGGGAACGCGCCCACAAGGAAAGGGCGTCAGAGGGCCGGGTAGGGCTGTCCAGAGACAAAGCAAGGATGTGTCCTTCCCGACCTGTTCCCAGCGCACGCTGGCTGCTCGTAGGACGTTCTGCTGTGGGCCTGTTTGGGTTCCTTTCTCTCAGTGGAATGTGGACTCTGGGATGGAGGAGCCATGTCCTATTCATTCATCTTGGTAAACCAATGCTCGTGAGATTTTAATTTTTTCCTAAGCAAAATTTTGCATCGAGGTTAGGAATGATGTTTAAGGAGTGTGAAAATAGCCTATTTCTTCCCATGCTGTCAGCGGGGATATATTTAAAGCTTTTGCCACTCCTGAGGAATAACGGTAACAGCGGCAATTATCCTGTTGGTGGTTTGCTCAGCAAATATTTACAATTTGTTACCCGATTGCACTTGTATAGCACTTAATACCTGTCAAAGTCTTGTCATTAGGATTTCACCTCTCCCAGCCCCAGGCCAGACTCTTGTTCTCCAGACATTGGGCTGGAAGCCTGGGTAGCAGACTGGACAGGGCAGCGGCCCCCCCAGTGGAAGGACTGGCTGGTGTGATGAGGGTCTCCCATTCGCTTGTTTACAAGGATGGGATCATGCAGGAGATGTACTTACAAGACGAAGAATTTTTATTTTCATTTAAAAAGCGGAGCTGGACAAAGGCACTTCCTCCTTCATGATTTGAGTAATTCTGTCCCGGCCTGTTGTATTTATAATGAAATTCTAAAAAGGAAAGGTTAAAAATAGGACTCTGTCTAGGAACAACAGCCCTCCCACTGCTGCCTTCTTCCAAAGCCCCCCAGTCGCCCTCACCTCTAAGTGGTCCTTTCCGGCAGCCTCTCCGGGAGTTCGGAATCTTAGTGCCACAGGTCTCACATTTATTACTCCGCGGTCCAGTGCCAGAAGCCGAGTAGCAGCTCAGTTCTGTATCAGGGCCTGCAGAAACCCAGGTTACAGAAAGACGTGAGTTTGAGTTCCTTTGGTGTGGCAAGTGGAGCTCTCACCGGGCAAGGTGTGCATTGGACACCACAGTGTTGAACTCCTCCGGCCGTGTTACCAAGGGGAGTTGCCAGCCTAGGAGTGCCATCTGTGGTCCCTTTCTGCAACTGAGAGATGTTTTGATAAGGGACAGTTCTGATAAAGTCTTGATTTGTCCAGCGCATGTGGGTGCTCAGTGAAGGTCTGCTGGGTAGGCAGGTCTGTCTGAGTTATGAGACAGTCTTGCATTTGGAGGCATTGTTCCAGATTTGCCCCAGTAAAGCCAAATTCTCTTCTCATCCCTGCTGTGGCCATGAGCTTGTGCTGTGTCACCCAGGTGGCTGGAAAGGTAGTTTTTCCCAGCATTCATTCATGAGCCCATGTAGGATCCTGAATCGTAGCATTGCCCTCCTCAGAGGCCAGTGGTGGTGACCACGTGTGTCCCGTGCAGTTGTTGAACTTGGTCAGCAGGAGTGCAGCTGACCAAGTGCACTTACAGGGCAGCTGTGCAGGTAAGGGCAGAGTCGGGGGCCTGGGCCAGGCAGGCGGGCATGTCAGGCTTGGGTGTCCAAGCAGCATCTCTGCTCCAGGGCAGAGGAAGCTGGGGCGCAAAGCCCCTGCCAGTCTTGCTGTATTCATGTTGGACTCATTCATAATGTTACCTTTCAAAGTGTAAGTCACACACGCAAAGAGTTCTGGAAAGGGTTTTTCTCCTCCAAATTGCATTCAGTCCCTCGTCATTGAATGTCTTCTTAATCCTGAAGCCAAGGAAAGCTACAAAAGGACCACAGGGACAAACCCTGGGAAGGTGGTGTGGTTGGTGGAAAGAGCGAGAGACTCAGTCCTGAATTTGAAGCATGGCTGTGCCACTTGGCTGTGATGGTTGGACGTATGTCCATATATTCTTTGACATGTGCAAGAAGTGGGCTGGATTTAGTGGCTCACTTCTAACAGAATAAGGAGGTAGTGCTGGCATGTAACTTTCAAAACCCAGTCATAGAGGACATTGAAGTTTCCCGTTTCGCTCTCTCTTGGGTCACTTGCTCTGGGGGAAGCTGGCTACCATGTCTTAATAACACTCAGGCAGCCAGTGGCCACGTGAGTGACCCCCTAAGAAACAGACTCTCAGCCCCAGTCATCAGTGCTGGGCACCACCTTCCCTGAGGCCTCTTCACGTGAGAGACGCAGAGCCCAAACCACCCGGGTAAGCTGCTCCCCGACTCCTGACCCACAGACCCTGGACAGTAAAGGTTGGCTGTGTTGAGCCCGTAAGTTTTGGGATCCTCTGTTACCAGTCCGTACATTATTGATACACCACCTGTTTGATCCGGGCAGGGCACTCCATTTCTCTGAGCCTCCACTTCCTCAGCTGTAAAGGTGATAATTCCTACCTCTCAGGGGTGCTGCGACAGCTAAATTCTACGCGCTACACCAACAGTTCTCAAACTTCTGATTTCAGGACCCTTTTATACTCAAAACTGAGGACCCTGGAGAACATCTGTTCTCCATGTAAAGTGACCAGTGCCGTTCGTAAGCCTGTGGTGAGATTGCCCCCTGCATTGCAGAAGGGCGGTCTCCCACGCTCGGCTGAGGTGGACGGGCAGAGGAGAGTCCGCATGCAAGTTCCACATCGTTTTTGCTTGTACAGACCAGACCTTTCCAAGACTCAGTGGGCAGTCCCGAGGCTTTAAAATTTTTTAACTGAGTTTATTTTATAAATATTTTAGTTATGTCATTTAGAAATAATCTATTTCATATTAACAAAACACTTTTTAACAAAAACAACTTTTGAAAATTCAAGAACATTAGAATAAAGTGGCATGTTTTGTGTGTTGGCAAGTATCCTGAACATCGGCCTTAATCAAAAGCAGCTGGGTTCCACGGCTGCATCTCCGTTCCCCCTGTGGGGGTATCAGCCTCACATAGATGCATCGCTAGAAAAGAGAGGACCTCCCGGTCCCCTTGCAAGGGTCTCAGGGACTCCCTGAGGCCCTCTGACCACACTTCAAAAGTTCTGCTTTGTTGTAGCATCTGGTAAAGTAAGTGTTCAGTCACTGAAAATGTGTCACCAACGGAGAAGAACCAGAACTAAACGTGACATGGAACGGCGAGTTACGGAAAGGCTCTTGGCTACAGGCTGTGTGAATGGGAGGTCACTGGACGTCCTCCTCGTTAGCTCTCTGGCCCCCAGGTTCCTCACATACAAGCAGGGCAGACGAGACTCGGAGGTGGTGTTTGTGCTCAGGAGCTGCGTGAGCAGGCAGGCCTCAACCCTGCCTCTCCCCCACCCAGAGCACTTCTGCCAGGGTGGGTGGTGTGCCTAAATTACCTCTGAGAAAGGCTTTTATGACTCAGAGTCATTGAATTCCATGCACTGTGCTCTCTGGGTCTCCTCCCAGCCCTGACTTTCTTTGCTTCTCTGAAATGTGCACTGGAGAGTCGGCAGCAACTCTCGAGTGGCAGTGAAGCTCACAGGTGTGCCTGGTGGGTCATGCTGGGCCCGTGATGACACAGAACCAAGGCCACCTAGTGGCTGAGTCCATGGAGTCCTGCAGGTCCAGCCAGAAGCAGGTTGGCACACTCACCCACCTGACCACATCTTATTTAACTCTATTTGGTTTTTAAGTCTTTGCGTTAAAAAAAAATACGACGTGCAACACCCCAGTCTAGTCAGTGCTGTTCGGAGTGGCAAGCTGGCACCCACCAAGAGCAGCCCCTGTGGAGAGATGCCCGGAAGACTGAGCACCCGCAGCCCCAGGCCCCTCAACTTACTGAGACTTGAATCTGAGAGCAGCGCCTGCTCTTGGAGGGCAGTAAGAAACCTTCTGTGGCAGCTGGTCCTTCTGTGGCCTTTTTTCTCCATGTTTTGCTCCCTAAAAAAGGTGCAGAAGACCCCATAAACTTAGAGTACAAGTCTCCCAAGGGTAGTGAGCGCGTCGGTACAGCCGAAGTGTTGACCTTCCCATGTCAGAGTCTGGGACAAGGCAGCCGGCGGCGGAGTGTTGTCCTCGGCACAGGGCTGTCCTCTGCCTGCCCGCCCGCCCGCCTGCGAGCTCCCCCGTCAGCAGTGGCACCAGGCACAGTGTGGCCTGATGAGAATGTGGTTACCAAAGAGTAAAAGTAAGTCTGTTTTCCTCCCCAGAGGATAAGATCTGATCATTATACCTACATACAAAAATATAGAAACTTGATGTTTGTAACTATAAAAATTTGGAGTTTTTTCCATACTCATGTCTTAAAATCAGTTATCAAAGGAAGAAGAAGCCATGCTATATGTCACATGGCTTTGACTCTCTAAGTACAAACTGAATGTATTTCAAAAGTCCATAAAGTAGATTTGTCTGGTGTCCACAGGGCTAGAAACTAGAGGGGCATCTGGGCTTATCTGTACAAGGCCACCAGGGGGCACCAGAAGATGTCCTCCAGTCACTTCCTCTGCCCCTTCCAGCTTCAGCCTCCCTTCTGGCCAGACCTTCTAACTCCTCTGGAGGGATTCTAATAATAATTCCTAAGCTCTTGCTCAGCCCCTGCGGTGCAGTAATGGACCCCAGGGGAAGCTGGTCATTCTCAGGGTGGAAGGCACCATGCCCAGGATACCCTGGACCGAACTCAAAAGGCAGGAGGAATGGGGACTGACTCCCCGGGAAAGGGGTGAGCCCTGGTGCTGCTTGGCGAACTCGAATGCGTGCAGGTCTCCTGGGGCCCCAGTTTGTGGGCCGGGGGGCCCAGAAGCAAGGCCCTGCCCCTCTTCTTGGAAAAACATGCTGTCCTCCTGAGTCACACTTTCTCACACCTCGTTTTCTCTCTCCACCCTCCTCCCCGGGGGCATTCGAACATCTGCTCTCCAAAGTGGAGAACTTGGATCTCACCCCAGTGAGTTCAGTCCAACATGGCTTTCTTCTTCTGCCTGCTTTAAACTTCTTTGTGCACGGAAATCTTGCCAAACCTAACAGCCGAGGGCAGTTCTACTTGAGGAGACAGTTTTAGTAGCTTAAACCCAAAGTTCTGCATCAGAAATAACACAAAGGGAAAGCACTTCACACGTAGCATCTGTGTCATTCATCTGTGTGTATGCACCACTTTGCAAACGTGATGTCCACCAGCAGGTTTTATAAAGAACACAGTCCATCTAAGAGCGAATCTTCTAAAAAAGTGAAGAGTGTACATAGCCCTCTGTTCAGTGAATTCCTGAGACTGTCACTGACCAAGGGTCCAGTTTATAAGCCATGTGTATGTCTCGTCACCCCCCAGAAGTGCGTTCCCTGTTAGGTCTGACTTTACATTGGGTGTGCTTTTCTCTCCTTTTTCATCATGAAAGAGTGCATCTGGTCTAGAGCCAAGGTCCCTGCAGGGCCTACACTAGAAATTTGGAAGAGAAACATTTAGTACCTAGAATGCTTGATGAAGATGTTTTTAAAATGTATTTTTATTATGCTTAATAAAACCTAAAAAAAAATCCAAAATCTGGATTCTCACTTCAACGGATATGAGTAGTAGTCCTGGGATAGCTCTGGAAGTGGCCCTTGCATTGACAGCCGGAGCTGACCACTGGCACGTTGGTTTAAAGTCCTGTGCCAGGCAGGGTGACACGGGGGAGATGTTGGCACAGACGCCACGGTGCTTCTTTGAGGGAGAGGGGAGCTCATGGAATGCTTCTGACAAGTACCCATTCCCAGAGTGGAATGTTTTCTAACAGGAAACTTCAGTCTTTCAGACCTTGTCACCTACTTCTATTAGAGTCCATTACTACATGTGACAGTGGTTGCCAAACAGTTCCTCCCACCTTGACCCTTGACCTTCCAAAGGTAAATCAGACAAGCTTCTGCCCCACTCCGAGGCGCCTGTGATCTTGAAGGTGGCGCCTCTCCATAACTAATAGAAGCGTCAAGGCAGTGATTCTCAATCTATGGAGGCTAACAATTGCTCCAGTGAGTGTTTCTAAAACATGGATTTCTCCTTCGGATTTCTTATCTGCAACTTTGTGCACGATTTCCCACTCACTACCTTGAAGATTTGTTGCTGAGTAATGACGGGAGAAGTAAGCCCGGAGATTGGGGATAAGGTTTATTTCCGGTATGACGGGGGCAGAGGAGTGAGGGTGGGAGCTGGTATGTGATGGTATGTGACAGTATTCCATATTTCTCTGGGTGGTATTCAAAGGTTCTTGGCCAAGGGAGCTTATTAGAATGAGCTGGGGAGACTGAACACAAGAATTTCTCCCGGGCTCCACCCCTGGCAAGGCTGAAACAGTAGGTGGGGCCGTGGCATGCACATGATTTTAAAATCTCCCTGGTGAGCTTGATGCTGACCCCAGTGCGGAACCGCAGCTACAGAGGTTTGCAGATGGGGAGGAGGCTGTGCTATGTGCCCAGCTCTGAGGTCTGTGGTTCTGTAACTGCGCCAGTGGCTTCTGGCACCCGGTCAGCGAGTCAACACCCACTCTCACTGGAGTCATTATCTCGGGCCCAGCTTCCGCCCACCCTGGGAGTCCGCTCTCACCATGCGAGGACCCGGTGGCAGAAGACACAGCTCCAGCCGGTTATCTCTGCACGTTCCACACGTGTCTGCCTTCTGGAGGGGCTGTGGGGGTCCCACTGCACCAGAAAACACATACAGATGTGGCTGTGAGCACGGAAGTGACTCATCCCTTGGCTGCTCAAGCACAGCCCAGCAGGCAGCCGGGCCAGCTAAACTCCCCACTTAGGGCTGCCTGGTTCTGATTCCTCCCTTGGGGGTCTGTGCAGTGCTGGCCGCCGGGGCTCAGAGAGAGAACCCTTACCACGGCCTCACCTCGACTTCTCTCCACCTCCAAACAGACTTTAAAGCCTGGCTTACAGCAACAGAATACTTTTCCCATTTTTATAGGCTCTAGTTTCAAATTACTCCTAGCTCCTCCAGACGACAAACAGATTTCCGAGGATAAGTTTTAAATCTATCAATCTGACCCTTGGTTAGTGGAGCTCTGAGAGCTTTTCCAAAGAAGTGCCTTCAACTATGAATTGGCACAGGGTTGGTGACTGTCTAGAGGCCTAGGTTATTGTTTCCCAGACAAGGAGACCCCTGGCAGCGCCGGGCACACATTTCTGAGGACGCTTTTCACCCTCCCGGCAAACAGGAGATGCACACACCTTTCTCATCACAAGCAGCGCTGGCCTAAGCAGCGTTGTATGGTAGTTTTTTCCATGCGTGAATTGCTTCCTTAGGAAACGCCTGGGTCAAAGGTTGACAACATGTTTGTGTGATGATAGGAATTGCCAAACTGCTTTCCACCAAGTGCGAATTACACAGCCACTAACAATGTGGGCCACTCGGTGTGACCACACCTGCCTCTGCATCAGGAATTATCAGCAGAAAATGTTTTTGTTCATTTAATAAGGGGGGGTGGCACCCTGTGTTGATTAGCATTTCCTCTGTTACTAAAGGAGATCGGCACTTTCCCAGATGTGGACTTTTTTTTTTTAGATTTTATTTGTTTATCTTTAGAGGGGAAGGGAAGGAGAGAGGGAGAGAAACATCAATGTATGGTTGCCTTTCGTGCGTCCCCTGCTGGGAACTGGCCTGCAAGGAACCGGCCTGCAACCCAGGCATGTGCCCTGACTGGGAATTGAACCGCAATTGTCTGGTTTGCAGGCCCGCACTCAATCCACTGAGCTACACCAGCCAGGGCCCAGATGCGGATTTATTCGCTGTATTTCCTGCCTGTGCTTTTTTACTTCGTATCTTTTGTTCCGTTAATTTTTTGGAGGGTCTCCGTGTTTTCTTGTTAATGAAAACAAGCATGTGCTGATATCACTCACTGCGCCAGGTGCTTCTCCCGAGGCCTCCTTTGTCCCTTCCCACCACCCTGGCCTGTTGTCCCCATTCTAATGATGAACAGCCTGAGGCTCAGAGAACTGACGCAACCCAACAGTGTCATGCCGGGAGTAAACAGGTGACACGCGAAGCTGGGATTTGCTCCTCTCCCAGGGTGCTGTGTCCTTAACCAGGACTCTGCTCCTTAGAGCACTGTGTATACTAAAAATCTCACTACCAAACTTCATTTGCTCGTCACATTTCCCCAGTTGTCTGCTTCAAAAAAAAAATGTGGGTTCAGTTCTGCAAACAAAACATCGATATTGTCAAAGAGGAAGTGGACATGGCCAAGAAACATAGGAAAATGGGTTAAATTTCACAAATAGTCAAAGAAATACAGATTTAACCCACGAGATACCAGTTTTCCCTCTATCGCTTTGGCAAAGGCTAGAAAGAAAAAGAACCAAAAATACAGGGTGGGGTCGGGTTGGAGGCGTGTACTTCCCCTCACTCCGCTGTGGGCGTGGGGACTGACTGCTGTGAGCTTTCCAAGGCCCGCGGGTCAGAGTTTTCAATGTGTACATTTTGGACCACTAACTGTACTCCTAGGTTTTTCTTCTCAGGAAATAACTACGAAAACGTTTGCGTTTGAAATGATGTTACCTGGAAAAAACCTAAATGTCCATTAATGAGGGATTGGTTAAATGAGTCAGGGTACATCCCTATGGTGAAATACAATGCAGCCCTTAGAAGTGAAACTGCAGGCTTATTCTAAGTGATATGTTGAGCTCCTCACAACATAATGTTAAATGAAAAAAAAATCACAAAGTACGATCCCATTTTTGCAAAAACATGTATGGGTGTGCAGAGAAAAAAGACTGGACAGATGTATGTTAAAATCTTAGTAACAACAACAAAACAAAAATGAAAAAATTTAAAAATTAGAAAAAATATTAGTAACACTCAATGAAATATTTATGCCTTTCTCTATTTTATGATTTTTTGTGGGGGCCATAACATATATTGATTGCTTTCGTCATTCAAACACTTCCAGGTTGACAGGGGTTCCCCTGCATGTCACATTCAAGGCCGATTTACACTCCAGACTCTAGGGAGGGCTCCCCTGAGCCCCAGCTGAGATCCAGTGTGTCCTGTCGTTTGCCCTGAGCGTCTCCTGACCTTCCTGAGCTTCCAGCTGCTCGTCTGCTAAAAAGTCTTTGCACGCTGTAAAGCTTTGAACCAACAGAGTTATGACTGTGAGCTGCTTTCAATTGTGTCATTATCGTTCGAGACCCAGGGGTTTTAACCTGAGTTTCCAGTCCGTTCATAATGAGATCATCTCACCAGCAGCCCTGGACAGCAGCTTGGGCCTCACCTGGGAACTTGTTGGAAATGCAGAGTTGCAGGGCATCCAAAACTAGGGACTGGAAGCCTGCGTTTCAGCTTCCATCAGAGGCGCAGGTGACTCGAGGCCGACCACAGCTGGAGAGCCCGGCTCTGGTCCAGCCCCCTGGGCAAGCTCTGAGCAAGTGGTGCTGAGAGGAAAATGTAAGTGATGGGCCGCTCCCAGCAGCGCCAGCCCCCAGGACGCCCCTTGGTGCAGAGCCAGCTGATCTTGTGTGCCCATTTCAAAGTTGCCTTCAGTGATGCTGGTGCCTGGTGGAGTCAGTGGTGTGGCCTGGGCAGAGCAGGACTGGCAATGGACTGAACGCTGCAATCAGAAGACGACCTTGAGGCCCTCTGATCTGGTTGGTCTGGTTTTTAGATAGGCAAAGCCGGCAGTTGGACTTTCAGAATCCGTTCCTGAGTTACCTGGTGCACTGCTGTGGGGGATTATTTGGTTTTCCTTTAAGTGGTCATAGGGAATTTAAAAGCCAGCAGGCCTGGGAGGTGGAAAGGAGCAACTGGAGGTAGAGTATGGTGGGGACATCCTGTGGCCACCTGTCCTCTGCCCCCCTCCCCGCCCCTCTAGTCAGCCTCTCCCAGAGAGTCGCAGAGGCCAGTCCAGGTCCTCTGGGCGCCACTGGGGAGCCAGGCACACGATGTGACCCATGATGCAGGGACCTTCCCCGTGGAGCCTCTCGGACCCTCCCTGGGGCACCCCTGCCTGGAAAGGGGCCTGTCATTGTCCCAGCTGGGGTCTGCGGGGTGGGCGACTCAGGTCCCCCTTCCAGGAGCCTCCTGCATCGTGCTGGGTGCCCCTGTCCCTAGCCCTCAGCACGCACGTGGCCCAGGCCAGGGACTGCCAGCTGCTGCTAGGAATCCGGAGAGCCGCCCACAAGGACTTGTTAGGGCTGCGGTCCTCCAGGTCCTGCACAGGGTGAGCCCCAAGGCACGGCCACATCCCACCTGGAGTCCCGTTTCCTGTCTCCTCCTCTGGCTGCCTCCTCCTTTGCCCCCGAACTCAGTTCCAATCTCGCCTCCTCTGAAAATACTTCTCTGACCCCTTCTCCCTAGTGACTCTACCTCCCACCCCAGATACTTAATAGTCACAGCAGCCAGCACCCAGGGAAGGGGCTTACTGTGGGGGGCAGGGGTGTTGGCCCTGTAGCGCTGCTGGTCTGGGGAAGCACTCAGAGGGGATTTCATTATGAATGGGGAACACTGGGTCAGAAGCGACAATGGCAAAGCTATACGCTATGAACAATAATTCTGTTGATCCAGAGCTTTACAGTCTGCAAAGACTTTGAGAAAAAGCAGTAGGAAGTTTAGGAGGGGGGAACCTGAGGCACAGAGAGGTTATGTGACTTTCCCAAGGTCACAAAGCCACTGAGTGACAGACCAGAGTTTGGACCCAGGCAGTCTGGCTTCAGAGTCATAAGGAATGTGTCATGACTTCCTGCAGAGCCCTTTTAACATTCCGTGATGACCTGTCAGTTTTATTGGTGCCTTGTATGTGACTCTCACAGAAATACAAGCATCACGAGGGCAGATGAGTGTTCATGTTCATTGTCCCCCATACTTAGAAGAGTACCTAACATTTAGCTGTAAACATTTGCTGCAAGCATCAATAACACTAGCAGTAGACTCTGTTTTTACAAAGTTACAGCGTTCTCATCATTTCACAACCGTCGCTGTGATCTTGGGACCGAGAGCAGGCCCAGACCTGAGGGAGCTGCTGGGTGGAAGGCGGGCCTGACTCACCAGGCCCCCTCACCACCTGCAGGATAACTCGGGCCCCTGTCTGCACGGTAACCTGCCTGGAACCTGGGGAACTGCTTCTGAGCGCAGGCAGGGGCTCGGCGGTTACTGTGCTGAGCATCCGCTCTGCGCCAGGCATTCACTCAGATCTTTGGGACCCAGAGACAGGCACAGCGGCCCAAAGACAAAGGGGACGCGGTGCTCTGGGCTCACAGACCAAGCCAAGAGTACTGCCCGGTGTGGGATGGGGGCTGGAAGTGAAGGTTCCTAACATAAATGGCCTAACTCGGAAGCTGGGCCTTGGAATGAATGCCATTTTCCTAGGAGGGTGAGTGTTTTCAGGAGGCAAACACTCATCTGTGGAAAGGCTAACATTTATACAAAATGGGGCGGAAGTAGGTTTACAGTTGTTCTTATGGAAAGTAATAAATAACAATACAAGAATGGACTGTTGCACATTCTCCCAACTGTGAACCTACTTTTGCCCCACCCTGCGTGATCCTCAACATCGAGTCCTTAACTCTGACAAAAAACCTATTCACCTTTTGAATGTCAGCCAGAGGCTATGTCCTCAAATGCTGTCTGAAATGGAAGAATCAATTTTAGCAATTATCCAGATGATTCAGTTTCTCAGAATTTCAGTGTAGTCCGAAATGTTCTGATAGTTGAGGTTACAAAAACAAAAAGTGTAGAAAGACAGTGGGGGTTGATTTGAATTCCTAATTTTGCATCTGTTGAGAATCCAAAAGAATTTCACTTGAGAGAGAAGAATGCAGATGTGGCCTCATGGAAACAGTTCTTTCACTGGGCGTGTTATTCTTTATTTAGAACAGCGAGTACTAAACCATTAAGAGGGAAAATTAAGAGGGATTATTTCCATCCACAAAAATATTACTATTCATGCAGAAGAAATGGCTCTTCAGCGGTTCATCAGTTTAAACTGCCTTATTACAGCCTAGACTAATAAGATAGTTCAAAGCCAACACTTGAAATAGCTTCTAATTTTTACAGTGTGATCCCATTTTAAATAATATGATATAGGGGAGAGGCTGGAAAGTGAGTGACGGACTTTGGAAAGTCAAATTTTCATGAAAGGTTAAAATAGAATTTTGTGATTCCATGACTTAGGACTCTATAAACGCACAGAAGCCATTTTTCCTGGCATGGAATTAGGCTGTAGGTTCCGTATTACCTCATCTGAGGGTGGAGAGGACGGCGGTGGCAAGGCAGCCGGGGTGGCGGGAGGACTCACAGGGGGAGAACTCGCTGAAGTTTGTTTGCCTTGCTCGATCTTCTCTTTAACTTCTTCAAGTAGCATCTCCGACCTGCACATTTCACCTTCCACTTTCCTAAGTAAACATAAACAGGCATCTTACAGGGGATGCAGTCAACATCCCAGTTAGTATCGACACTTCTTGACTACAGCAGGGACCTGTATTGTTCAAGTGGTCTGTCTTCGGAAAGAGCAATAATTCATTTCTTCATTAGCTGTGTATCCTTGGGCAAATCACTTAATCTTGCTGTGCTTCTCATGTTTCAAACAAAAAGTGTGTAGCGTCTACATTTTTTAAAAATGCTCCTGGACAGGCATGTTTATTGCACGTTCTGGAACGAATCGGTAATTTCAACATGATCCTGAACAACATTCTAATGGAATTTTATTAAGAAATGTGTTAAATTCGGTGAGCTGATTATAAAGTCTTAATGAGAGAGTGCAAGAATAGCTAAAGAAAGGTTTGAAAAGAAGCAACACTTCAAAATATAGACTGAACGGTGGTAGTTTAACGCCTGTGTGGTTGCTGTAGAAACAGATGCCTAGTTCCATGGGAGGGACAGAGCAGATACCCATGGAGATTCTGTGTAGGAGAAAAGTGCCTTTTTCAACCAGTGGGGAAAGGCTGGCCTGTTCGGTAAGTGGTGGGACAAAGACCTAAGCGTGGAAAACCACGTTGCTAATCAAATAAAATACAGGGAAATATGTTCTACCCTAGCAGGCAGAAGAGCAGAAAGTAGGGCACAAGGAGAGAGACCAGAAATATAAAGGAGGAGAGATGATGACCTGTGGCCACAGGTTGTGGGAAGAGATGGGGCTGGAGAGGCTGGAAAGTGAGTGAAGGAAGAAGGGGGGGGTGATCTGCAATCAAAATTGCAGATTTGGGGATGGAGAAAAGGCATTTTTGAGGGAATTTGTGATCTTTTAGGCAAAGCACAAGATGGTAATACCAGGAAGAGGGGCTTGGTGGAGGCAGAAGGACCCCATTTCTTGGCTCCCTGGCTCGGGTGTTGGTGTGTGAAAGAATCAAGCCACTTCCAGACTACGTTCTGACAAAGGGGATGCGTGAAATCCAAAGGGCTATTTTTGCACTTTACCTCTTAAAGGCAATAATAAGGTTTTAATAAGAGCACATCAGTTGACTTCAACAAGTGATTAGTCCGTGACTTTGCAGAATTCTTTCCCCTACAGAAAGCCATCTGCAAAGGCCTTTGGACTCAACTCAGAAGGTTCTCGACACACCAACACCTCAAGGGTAGCATGGGGTTCTGCTCATTGACACGTACACCCACGTGAAAACAAGAAGACCAGCCTCTCACTGAGTAGCTCTGCTTGCTTTGAGGCGGCTTTGCTGCATTTTGAGGGAGGCTGGGTCCTTCCCTCGCCCCAGTGTTAAAAGCTTTTCCTGTGGATGGGGTGTAATCCCAGTTGAAACTCGGTTTATCCTGGGGCCAGGTGCTGCGTGGGTGGGACTGGGGTACAAATGAGGCATTGATTACATCGCTTTGGTCTCAATGTGCACAGAGCCCTGTCTTTACAACTCCTGCCAACAAGTGGGATTCCTTGGAAAATATCCTTAGTCCATTTGTTTTTCAACAAATAGGGAAAGCAGGTGGAGATCTTTTTTTTCCCCTGAAAAAAAAAATAAGACTTTGGCAGGGGGAGCAATATTAAAACCCCATCCTTGCTGTCTAATTACTCAGTATTGAAATAACAGTACACAGAGGTTTCGTTCATTTGAAAAAGTAAAATTATACTTTGGGGTAAGTACCACAGCATGCGAGTGCTAAAATATAGACCATTAACATATTTTGGCATAAAAATGTGTTAAAAATGCTATGAATAGAAAGAGCTGAACTTACAAATATTGAGCCCAGTAAATGGATTCTTTTCATTCATAGCAGGAAATTATATGGGCAGAACCCAGGCCCCGATTCCTGGAATACATCATAAAGCTGTTTGGATTGGAAAGAGAGAGCGGTCATGTGCCATAAAAATGGCCGCTGGAAACTTGAGCGTGAACGTGCCTCCAAGTTTCTAATGTGGATTAACACAGGAGTCCTTTGACTTTAAGTTTTAATGTTTTCCCTTTTACCAGGGTTTGTGGGGTCCTCACCCCAGCATTCACCAGCTGACAGTAATCCTCTCCTGCCCACAGCCCCTTTGGACTTGTCTGTGCCTGAGAAGGAAAGGGGGGAAAGAGGGACAAAAGAGAAGAAGAACCAGACGGGAGAAGCAGAGGCAGGAATGGCGTGAAGGAGTGGACGGAGGGGCGGGGGGGGGGGGGCAGAGGAGGCCCTCCAGGGTTCAACCGTGAGCCTCTCTAGGGCTCTCCCCGGTCTCAGAACCCAGTACAGTGACATGCCCTGAAATGCAAGATGGTGGCACAGTTGTCCCCCGGATGAGACAACTGTGCCTCCAGGGGACAACTGTTCATTTGGGACACTCCATCTGGGTCACCACCTGGCACGGGACCTTACGCATAGCAGGAATTCTTTCCTACTTCTTTCTCGGGGTGACACCCTCCCATCTCGCACAGGCTAAACCTGACCTTTCCGGATCAAAGTCACCGCCGGTTGGGGGTTCATGCTTGCAGACTTGCTGCTTCCAAGTCAGATGCTTGTCCTTATTGACCACGAACTCCTGCTCCAGCCATGCAAGATGCCCCTGCAGTTTCTCCAGGGCCTGGAGTGGAAAAGTCACTGGAATCACTCTCCTGGAACCCCACGCGTGGAGTTGTTTGTTCCCCCAAACCACAGAGGGTGTACCCTCCAGTAGTGTCAAAGCAAAGCCACCGTCCTTCTCCTGGCCCTCGTGTTGTGCCAGAGGCTGACACCTAAAACAGACAGAGCCATCACAACATTCACACCGCCCTCAGAGGGCAAAGCTGGGAAGTTCACTGCCTCCGATTTCTCTCCCAGAGCCCACCCAGGGGCCCCTGGACTTCCTTAACAGGATGTGAATAATCCTATTTGCCCAATGACTTTTAGCTTATGTAGCACGTTCCCATTCATTATCCTGTTTAATCGAGGCATCGGTGTTGTAGGTGTTGCAAAGTAGATACTATTATCCTGGTTTTATAGAAGAGGAAGTGGGAGCGGTAGGAAGCAGGTCTGATGCCACGTAGATCTTAAAAAGAAACTGCACTTAGGGGACCCGGGTTCGAGTTTATGGCACTTAGAGGGTGAGACGGGAAGGAACAGCTGGAAGCTGAGCCACAAGCTGTGAATGGGTCTTCTAGACGGTGCCACGTCACCACCCGCAGCCTCGTAGGAGAATGTTTAAGCTGGGCAGGCGACGGGGCTTGTCTGAAGGGCAGGGGCTTTAGCTGTGCAGCTGCAGTCGCTGAACAGTCCCTGAGCCCTGCTGTGCCTGGCCTTGCGCTGAAAGTATGATGGATCTAAAAATTGGATTAGGCACAGTCCCTGGTCTCCGGGACTTTATCCCAGTTGGGAAAAGAAACCAAGGATCGGAGTCCTTTGCCACGGCTCCGTGAAAGGAGGGAGACTTAAGTCAGGCTTGAAGGATGCTCAGGAGGGCCCAGAGCAGGCAGCATCCATGAAAATAGAGAGGAAAGGGACGTTTGCAGAGAGATTCCCAAGGGCTGGAACATACCACAGCAGGGTTAAAGGATCAGACACACCAGGGTTCAAGTTCAGACTCCGTCACCTATTCATTGTATGGTTTTAGTGAACTTGAACTCTAAACTTCAATTTTCTCATATGGTGAAAATTAAATGAGATAATGCTTAATTCCAGGAGCATAGTACATCATAGATGGTAGCTATCATTGTCTTCATTATCAACTCTTGTTATTATAAAAAATGAATAAGTTTGGAAACATATTGGCCGTTGGATATAAAAAATGGCGAGTGTGGCAGATGTTTTCCATTTCTCCCTCCAGATGCATCCTCCATCGTTCTCTGGGCCCCACCCAGGAAGCTGACCTTCCAGGGACAGCAGCAACAGGAGGGAGGAACCGAAGATGAATGGGGTAAGGGGTCTTTGTTTCCCCGACTTCCTCCTGCTGGTATCATCATGGACTGGCTGTGTCTCTACCAAAAGCCACAGAGCTTGCCAGCTACTCCCGCAGCTGCAGCTACTCTCCTCGGGCGCCAGTACCTGTTCTTCCTCTGTCCCTTCTGCTCCACTGTTGTTTTCCTCTGCTCACCGGTTTCCCGTAACCTTGCCCCCACTGTTGTTGAACGGTGCCTCCTTAAAGTCTCCCCGAGTGCTCCACTGGAGCAGGCCACCTGGTTCCTGCCAGGCCTCGGCCTGGGGCTGAGACTCTCCAGGCAGTGCTCAGGAGTCCAGCCAGGGAGATGGGCAGAATGTGGAAGACCTAACTAAATGAGGAATTTGCACGGGCCACACTTTTCAGTGAAGGTAGCAACATCAGCAATTTGTACAGTGTTGGGCAAGGGAGAACTTTCCGTGAGAATGGGATACCCAAGTAAAGATGCAAATGTGGAGATGTGGATGAGAAGTTAGGACTGGCCATGGAGGGATTGGCAGGACAAAAGTGACATTAAAGCCTTGAGAATTCTTTCTTGAGAAAGAATTAGGTGTTCAAAGCAGAGAGACAAGGGAAGCCCATTTTAAGTTAGGATCTTGGATTTCGAATCATGTTTTACACCTCAGAAGAAGACAGGGGAAAGCTTCCCAGCCATAAATGGTCCTCGTGAATTCTTGTAAAACTCTGAGATGGGAAGACATGCTCCCTGAGATTGTACCACCAATATGTAGGGCCACGATGTCTGCTCCGAAATCAGAGTGCTTTCTACTGCTCTGTGCTGCTCACTCGGAGGTCAGTCTTAGCTGCGTCTGGCCATCTTCCCACACCGGAGCAAAGGGCCTGAAGTCCCAGACCCAGGGGTGCTGTCAGGAGTCACCTGCCTCTCCTCTCTGTCCCAACATGAATCCCCATGTCCCTCTAACACCAGGAAGAAGCGTCCTGAATCAAGGCCTCAGAAGGCTAGTGCCTTGAACCAGTTCCCTCTGCTTTGCTCAGCCCTTTAAAAGTCTGTGTTCTTCCAGTTCCTGAAAGCTCAGGTTTATGGAGACCCCCTTCATCATTCACTCCTGATCTCCTGCAATCCGGCTCCCGTAGACCCACCACGTCACTGAAACTGGGCAGGCCAAGGCCCCTCGAGGCCTCCGGGTTGCCAGACTCAGCGCACAGCTTGCTTTCCTTCCCACGGAGCACCTTTGGTGGTGTGGCCCACTCCCCACTTCTTGGGGCCCTGTTTTCTTGGCTTCTGCAGCACTGCCCCTCCCAGATCTGCCTTGGCCTTTTGAGTCACTCCTCCTAGGTCTCCTTGGTGGACCCTTCTTCTTTCACCTGCCAGTGGGTGCTGTTTCCCGTGATTCTAACCTTGGACTTCACTGCTTACTCTGTGGGTTTGCCTGGGCAGTCCGGCATACCCAGTAGCTTCAACCACAGCCACACCCAAATCTACCTTTTCGGCCCAAACTAGTCCTTAGAGATCCAGCTCCACTGCTCTAATTGTCTACTGGACCCTTCCAATCGGATGTCCCACAGGGAACTCAAAATGTCCCAAACTGAACTCGCCTCCTGCCTGCCTCCCACACCCACTCTGAACTGGATCCTCCACTTTTATTCCTGACCTTTGTTGCCCCAGATAGCAATCTGAAGTTCACCCAAGCCTCCTCCCTTCCTTTACTCAGCCCTTTCAATCTGCCAGCACTTCCTTAAACCCTTGGACGCATCCTCTTCTCATCCTCTTGGCAGCCCTGGTTCAGGTCCTCGTGGCTTGTTCCCTGGATATGGCTCCCTAGCTGGTCTCTGTCCCTACAGTCTGGCCCACAGGACGCTCTCCATTTCTCAGCTTGAAACCCTCCAGTGTTGCCCATCACTCAGCCTCAGGGTGAAACCGAGCTCCTGGGTGTGAGTCAGAGGGCTTTCCTGGTGTTGCCCATGTCTGCCTTTCTGGTCCCGCCCTCCTTCACCACGTGTACCCCAGGTCCTGTCTGTTCTAGTCCATTGCAGTGACATGCGGTTCCTTGCCTGTCAGCACTTTCTTGTCCCTGGGCCATTGTACCTACCAATCTGTTGTTCCTGGGGGACTATAAGCTGCTTGACCAAGAAGTTGTTCCATCATCTCCAAACGTCTAGTGCCTGGTATAGACTCCGGGACACAGGAAGTCCCAGGTAAGTGTTTGTTGAACAAATAAATGAGTTGTTAAATTAGCATGATGATCGAATGGGTAATGAATCATGTCTCTGACATTTGGATCCTCCTGGTTTTGGGGCGCTGTCTGGCTTCCAAAGCACAGCCTGCCCCGAGCCTTGCTTGCGTCGTTTATGTCAGGACATCTGACCACCTGCCTTGCTGTTGCCCAGCGGCCTGAACTACATCTTCAGCTCAGCCCATTTCTGGCTCTGGTGGCCTCTGCTTTCAGCCCCATTGCCAGGCTCCACCCCCACTTCTCTCGACTTGGGCACTGATGAACAAGGTGTTACAATGTAAATTAGTGACTTGATTAAATACACCGAGCCAGGATATGAAGCCCAAAGATCTTGATCTGAAAAGTACAGCTTTAAGATCAATTTTAAGTTATCAAAGTTTTATATATTGAGTTGCCAGGTATTGGCAATTCTTACAGCCGACATCCCTGGGACCCACAAGCTCTTGGATGGGCCTTATCACCCTTTATAATGGCTGGTGTGCTCTTCTCTTGAGCCTCCCCTGGTCTCAGAGTTATTATGGGTCAACGGTGAAGAAAAACAGCCATGAGTAATAGATCCCCTGAGAAACAGGGTGGGCTCAACATGTAGAGAAATAGAATTCTAGCTGTTTTAGCCCCTGACCTCAAATCATTAGTGAGACTGGAACCTCAGCATGGGGACAAGGTGAGGGGGCTCTGGGAAGATAAGATGGGGTTACGGGGAAAAGAGGAAATGGCCTAAATTAAACATTAATGCAATTGTGTACTAAACGGTTACTGTACAACCAACTTGAAATAAGTTATTGAGGATCTTAATGCGATTCAATTTAGCACTAATGACTGAGGGCATAATACATGTGTGACGCAAGGCCAGGCCTCTGGGGGACGTGCAGCTACGGAGAGAAGGAGACAGGATGGCCGCCCTTCGTCTCCAGCAGAACACGCCCACCTGGGCAGACGCGGCCCGGGGCCATGAAGCTGTTTGTGTTTGCCCCCCTCAAAGTCTCTAGGAAAGGTGTTTAAAACAGAGTAACGGATTACCAGCCTCTTGTCTCGCGTGTGACGGGGGGAGTCCTGTGCTATGCTTTTGGAGAATTCTTGCACCTGCAGCGAGAAAAGGCAATATCATCAATGACGTGGTGTTGTATGTTGAAACGTGGTTACTTCTGTGGTTCCCAATGAGCTTTAAAGGTATTACTTTACTCCTCAGCCGATCAGTCTGTTCTCTCAACTTCTGACACATCCTTTTCTGGTGGGATAGCTTCTGGAATATGTAAGAAGAGCTTGCAGGAGGGTTTTTCTGAGAGGGTGATGTCAACTGAAAGAGACTTGTCTCGGATTCTGTTCCTGTATAAGAGAGAATAAATACATTTTGGCTACCAGTCATTGCGAGTTCATTACAAAGTCATTAAGTACAGAAAACTGGAGCTGGGGGCAGGCACCACCATTCACTATTTAAAAAGTTTCACCGTGGGTATCTACACGGAAGAGGTTTAAAAACGCTCGTACCTGTGAGACGTTCCCGGTAGATGTGCCTCGTGGGCTCCGTCTGCGTAATTAGAGGACAAGAAAGCATTACTGTGGGCGCTGATCAGTGACGCCGTCATCAGAATGACCTGCCACGTTCTGGTCACGGGGCCGGCAGCCGGGTGATATATGTCAAGGGCTGGGCCCGATGCCAAGGTCGAATTGCCCTCTTGACACTCACCTCTGGGGCGACCCAGGGAGGGCAATTACCCCATCACTGCAACCCTCAGATTCCTCAGCAGTGAATGGGACAGTGACAGAACCTGCCCTGCAGGGTTGTTGTGGGGGGTTGAGTGTGAACTTCTTAACACAGTCTTAACATGTGGGAGGTGCTGAGTGCGTGCTAGCTGTCACTGCTGTCTGGTCTGGTGCCGCTGTGTGAGCTACACAAACATGTCTCCTGGAACACGAGCTCTGTGAAGGCAGGCGCCCTGGGGTCTTGTCTTCAGGTCTGCGTCCCTCACTGACACCAAGCTCGTGGGAGCCACACTCGAGAGAATCCTGTAAAATGGTGTCCGCTAAATTCCAACACGGGTGTCGGGACAGCGATTTCTACGCAGGACGGGCGCGTTTCCGCTCCCCACAGGCTGGCCGGACAGGACTTTAACTTCCAGAGCGGTTCCCCTTGAGGGGCATCCGTCGTGCACAACCCGTACAGCTCAGAAACACGCCAGAGGCAGGGAGCAAAGCGGGCCCGGTCACACCAGACTCGGAGGGTTACGAATGCCTCCAATACGATGGCTGTGGAACCTCCAGGGTCCAGTTCTCCAGCCGGAAATGGAGGGACTGGGGAAAAACCGGACCCCTGACTTCAGACGCCCTGATCCTACTGACGCTGGGCGTGGAGAATCGGGCACCCCCGGGGTCCTCCTGCAAGCAGGAGGAGGAAGAACCCTGACATTTGCCAGGGTCACAGGGGTGCAGACTGACTTCTCCATGACTTAGGTGGGCTGCGGGCTCCAGGGGCGGGGTGCGTGGGGGGTCTGTTCAAACTCCCTAGCAGAGGGCTCAGCTGCAAGGGAAGGGAGTTGGGAGCCTGAGAAGGTGGAGAGGGAAACGCAGACGGCATTCAGGCCGGGGTGCGGCTCACACGAGGCTGAGACAGGAGCACGCAGTGCTGGCCAAGTGCCAGAAGAAGGGAAATGTTTACCTCGATGGTTAATGTTAATTTCCCTGACTACTGAATCTCAAACAATCTGTGAGATCTCGAGCCTCAGAGTGTGGGAAGTTGGGGTGGGTGGAAAGACGGGTAAAATACATTTAGCGTTAATAACTAGGAATAGGTGGAAGACACAAGGCCCAGGCTCTGGCGGAAGTTAGGCAGTGGAGAGAGGAAGATAAGGTTGCTGCCCTCGAGAGACTTCAAGTCCAGTGGGAGAAGCAGTTTCCAGATTCGGGGTCAAAGCGGGCTCAGATAGCTGCCCATCAGAACACGGAACAAAGGAGGAGGAGATTGGGGGGGGCGGGGTTCTGAGAAGTCCTGAGGCCCATGGGGGTTTGAAGCAGAGACACGGGGTGTCCCATGTAAGGCAGGAGTTCAGGGTGCTCAGGGCCTTGGAGGGGGGTCAGGGTCAGCTGGGAGACTGAGGGCAACTTCGAGGGGAGAAGGGCTCAGTTTAGAAGGGTAGGACGGAGTTAAAAAAAAAAAAAGATAGGGGAACTCAAATCCCAAGAATTTGAAGAATTTGCATTTTATTCCGTGATGTGTTGTTATTAGCCCAGTCCCCCATTCTTCTCCTGAGCACGCCCGCTGGGCTTCTGGGAGGTCACAGTGCCCAGTCAGAACTAGAACCCCGGGGCACCCCAGAACTAGAACCTGGTCTCAGACCCTTCCAAAGACTCACACTGACCCAGGCGCAGGGAGGGCCCCGAGTCTGTGTCTCCTGGAGGGGACTTTCACTTACCTCTGTCTCTAAGGAGGGGTCAGGAGTTTTCCTTTCCTGCTCTTCTTTCTCAACCCAATTTGACCTAGACAGGCTTTCTAAAATATCTTGCACAAGAGCTAACCTGTCTCTCAGTTCATGAGAAAAGTGGTCTTGTGTATCTGTTGGAAGCGGTTTATCGATTATGTTATTTTCAGGGATTTTCCCTGTGGGAGCAATATTAGAGAAATCAGAGAACCGGTAATGGACTTGATCACACCGGAACCTGTGGCCTGATCCTGTCTTTTCAGTCTGGTGATTCTGAGGTGTCTGCCCTTGGCGACCTTTTTGTTTATGGCTTGGACTCTTGGCTTCAGTTAGAAAATTGGAGCTTTCCGGATGGCTGCCGTCTCCAGCGGCCACTGGCTCTTCCAGCTCAGAGGTGCTTTCTTCTGCGGCGGTTGGAGAACGGCTGGGCTTGGTGCCGCTCTCTTCATCCCTCTCAGGGTCAAGTTGACCGGTGAGCTCTGGGGCTTGCTCTTCTGGCCAAGAACTCTTAACGTAACGCACAATGATGCTTTTAACAATGGCCTCGACAGAACTGTCGGGATTAGAGATCTCTGGCAGAGTTTCACAGTCGATGCCTTCACCTTTTAAAAATTCCTCTCTGGAAAGGTGATGCTGTAAAATATCGGAAATGTTTGACTTCGGAAGGTCTCCTCTAGCTGGACCGGGAGGATCTGTGGTGTATTGTTGCTCTTCATCGTACTTTTTCTCAACAGTGTTTTCATTCATTTTATCCATGGTCAGCACTGTGTCTGCATTTCTGCACCATGTAGCCCCTTCTTGAGGGTCCCCTGCTGCTGAACTCACTTGATCCGAGACGCCCAGAATGTGGTTCTTCGAAGAAGGGCGGTGATCATCCCACAGCTTAGTCTGGGGGGGAAGCCCACCGTAAGGCAGACCCTCCTGTCGCTTGCAAGTCCCATCTTCTGCGAGATCGGCTTCATCCATGTGTGTGCAGCCTGACCTTCGTGCGTCATGCCTGCCCTTGGAGTCCTTAACTGTGACTGTAGACCAGGTTTTCATAGGCTGTCTTCACCGTGTGTCCTGGTCTGTGCAGAGAGAGAAGAGCGAGCCTCATTGTTACATACGTTAGAATAACGCCCGGCAGCAGGCTCCTCGTGGTGTCTGTGCCAGAACGTTTAGAGAAACTCGGTTACAGGCCTGGAGGCAGAAGGCTGGGCGCCTGCCCACTGTCCGTGCTGCATGGGTATGACCCGTGGTCTAGGCAAAGGGGAAAGGAGGAGGGGCGACATTTGTATTCATTACATCGAGGGAGATGTTGGTCTCTGGTTAATGACCAAATATTTATCAGCCTCTCTTAGGAAATGCTACTTATTTGGAATTCATTCTCCCAAAATGGGAGCTTGGGATGCAAGTAAAGGATTGACTTTGAAAGTCCTGGGGTGTCACTTTTCCACACATCGTGATGGGCCCCTGTGTTGGGTGAGACCGAACCGTCTGCCCCGCAGCCGTTCCGGCCCCTCTCCTGCTCTTCCCCTGAATGTTGGGGAAGGCGGAGAGGGGCTGACGAGAGGACGACCAAGGGACACAAGGGCCTCGGCACACCTGAGACTGTCCTACCGCCAAGCGTGGCTCTTCCCGTCGGCCCTCGGGCAGGGCGGCCCCCTTGCTCTGAGCAGCCCTGACAGGTGGCCCATCTGGTGGTGGCAGCTGATCTGAGGGATACTCCTGACCACGGTCAGAACAGAGCCGGCTGCCATCGGGTGTGTCTTGGTTCCTTTCAAACACAATGGAAGACACTCATTTACGCATCTCTTTGTGACTTGTTGGGAGAACTTCAAAGCAGTGACATTTCCTCCAGTTTTAGGTGGGGAAGCCCACGTGCCACTCAGCCAGGTGCCCACAGCCCCGGGCAACCTCCTTGGGGCTTGAGGACGGGTTGGGGCGTGGGTGTCTGAGGCCCCCCATCTGCATTTTTATGAGTCTATGAATCTGTGACAATTTGCTAGCCTAAAGACTTAATGTAATATGTTTGACCAAAAACATTGAATTAAACTCTCCAAGTAATAAGGAATGCAAACAATTTTGCACGACAGTACTCACTGACATGTTCAGAGCCAGGGCCAGAGGACTCCGATCAAACGCTGCCGTATTTTGCTGTGTGTAATGTACATCCCCGTTTTTGGCCCAAACTTTCAGGGAAAAAAGTCTTTCATTTTATTTTTTAATTTGATTTTGTATTTATTTATATTTAGGTACTTTTTGTGCATTATAAAGGGTATTATTTTGCATATGGCTATTATTATTGCTTTCTAGAGTTACACTTTTAACACATAAGCATAAATAAAAGAATTAAAAACAATTATATAGATAGGGAATTAGTATTACCCATGTATAATGAGCATGCTTATTTTTCCCTCAGAAATTTGGGCAAAAGGTGCATATTATACACAGCAAAATATGGTGTTTTGCTTAGAGCAAGAGAGACAAGAAGGGGGAGGAGGAGGAATCACTGCAGGGTCACTTTAAATCATTCCCAGCGTCTCCTATTTCCTGTGAAGTGGGAGACATCTGCGTGCACAGCAGGACGGGCACCCCAACTCCGGCTGAGGAGCAGGGCCAGCGCTTCGCACAGCAGCACAGTGAGGAAGCAGGAGTGGACAGACCTGCGTTCGAATGCCCGCTTCCCCACTCGGGAGCTGGGTGCCACTGGGCAGGCTATTTAACTGTCCTGAGTCTTCGTCTCTTCTTCCAAAGAGCAGGACTAATCATGTCCAGTTCCCAGGACCGCTGGAAGAACACGAGACAATCATCACGTAAAGCTCTCGGGCCAGTGCTCAGCACAGAGCAAGCATTGGGTAAATAAATGGCAGCTTATCAGTGAGAAACGAGACAGTCCCTGGGTTGACGTGCCGAGGAATGCCCATGCGCAGAGGGCTGGGCACCCTCGATCTGTGGGGACATTTGAGGGACAGGGGGACATGGCACACGAGAGACTTAATCTCTATAAGAGCCTTGAAACTATTTCTAAAATCTACCTGCAAATGAATATATTGTTTAATGGTGACAACTACCACTAAACAATTTTAAGTAAAACATCATCTAAGACACCCAGAAGGCCAACAGGTAAATAAGAAGATGCTCCACTTCATTAATCATCAGGGAAATGCAAATCAAAAGCATGGTGAGCTTCGGCCTCACGCCAGTGAGGAAGGCTGTCGTCAAGAAGAGAGAACAAGAGTCGGCGAAGGGGTGCAGGAAAGGGGACCCTCGTGCGCCGGGGTGGGAATGTGAGCTGGTGCAGCCGCTCTGGAAAACAGTACAGAAGCTCCTCCAAAAGTCAAAAACATCTATTTAATCCAGCAATTCTGCTTCTGGATGGGTACCCAAAGGACGTGAAAATAGGATAGCAGAGCACTCTCTGCACACCCGTGTTTGTTTACATCATTCACAACAGCCAAGGGGTGGAAAACACCTAAGTGTCCATCAGCGGAGGAATGCAGAAAAAAGATGCGATATAGACACAACGAAACATCATCGGTCATGAGAATGGAGGACATCCTGACACTTGTGACAGCAGGGACGGACCTCGAGGGTGTTATGCCATTGAAACAAGTTGGAGAAAGGCAAGCACTGTCTGTGATCACTTCTACGTGGAATCTAGAAAAGCCTGAGGTTTGGGGTGGGGGAGCGGAACAGCGCAGATGTAATTTAAACTTACAAGTCGTACATAAGCCCTGGAGATCTAATGCACAGTTAGTGAATGTAGACAGCGGTGTTATACTCTAACTGGCTAAGAGGCCAGAACTTCATCATTCCGCCCACTAGAAAGAAGTGATAATTATGTACCTGGGTAGAGGTGCTAATTATCACTAGAATGGCAATCATTGCAACATACAAAGGCAACACATTAACATTCTGCACCTTAAAATGATAAAATGTTACATGTCAAATACATGTCAGTGTTTTTTAAATAATTGCCTAAGTTTCCAGGGGAAAAAAGAGTGTCTTTAAATGCCTGTAAAGAAAAGAGAAAACGAATTCTAGTTTTGCAGGACTTTGGGTGGCGCAAGCTACAGCTCCAAACTCATCCTGACGCCTTCTTTGTATCCGGAGGTGCTGATGGCAGAGCCCCAAGCCCTTCTAACGGAAGAAGAGGAGCCTCTGTGCCAGCCAGGTCCTAGTGCCTAAAATAGCACTCCATTTAAGCTGATAACATTTCATTTCTGCCAGGATTCTTAAGAAAAAGAAAAAAGGGAGACCAGCAAGATAAACCAGAAGCCAGAGGAGCCCTCTCGTGACACGTAGGAAAACAGCTTCTGTTGTCATTATTGTTATTTTCTTTTTCTTTGTGGGCAAAACATCAAAAGGTTTTTTCTGGTAAAGGACAATCTATGTTCTTAGCATCCTAGCATCGCAATGGACCCCTTACAGGTAGGAGGAAGGAACCAGGCCGGCTTCTCGCAAAGATACCAGGCTCTATCTTGGTTCATTCATGGAGATTCCGGTCAGAACCCAACAAAACTCAGCTTGACTTACCGAGTCAGACGAACACATTTGGGGCCATGGTTGCTTAGGTGGCCACACTGGCCATTATGTGCTCAGCAGTAGCTCACAGGTGACCCTGAGCATGGATACCAAGCGTAGGAGGCCAGCGCATTCCAGGGGACCACCGCAGCCTGGTCCCCACAGGAACGCACTGGTTCCTTCAGAAAGCAGGCTGCTCACCGTGGGGTTCGCTTTAGTGCCAAGTGGGACTTTGGTGCTGAGGGGCTGACATAAGCTCGCGTATTTGCAGTTTAAGAGAAGGCAACCTCCACGGCTGGGTAGAGTCCATTAAGAATGTCTATAGGTGGAAAATCCAAAAGTCCTTAGTGCTTAGAGGTCGAAGATGATCAGCGAATCGTGGTCTCTGGCTGGTAGGTGATGTTCTATTCACTAAGCCCATGTAATGGTAACACGAATGTTACACGTCGGAGGACCCTGGCCACCATGAGCCCCGGCACCTGTGTTCTGTGTTCTGCCAGCCTCCAGCCAGGCGGTAAATGACCCACAGATGGGGAGAAACAGGCACCGTGTCTGTTCACCTGCCCTGCCTCCCTCCACTAAAGGACCAGCCACCCAACGCTCTCAGGTCCCGACCCCCCACCCCCTTCTAGCATCAGCCCTACGGACTCCAGTGCAAACCGGGGTTGACTTTGGGAGGCCACGCTTCCACCATCCGAGTTCTCCTTACTGCTGTGTACCTGTGTCATGAAGATCGTGGACAGACTGCGGAGCACGGGATCCCGTGATACTTCGTCTGCAGAGAGCAGCATGCTGCCGGATGTCTCTCCGGCACACCCCACAGTCGGGGCACACGTGAAAACAATGGCGGCAGTGGCGACTCACCTCCTTCTTGGAGCCCCTGGAGTCCACGGAACAAGCTGGTCCTGGGCCTTCAGCACAGATGGTCAGTCCTTTCATTCAGAACCACCGTCCCTTTGTTCAGTAGTGGAAAGTTGGCTGCGATTGAACAACAGAACGTAAACTTCCAGACCCTGGCGGGCCTGCTTCTCTGGGGCTCCTTCAGCTACAAGAAGTCAGCGTTGAAGATTACATAGGGAACTTCTGATGGACTCCAAACTGCATTTTTTCTTCGGGGGGTGGGGGGCTTATCTTTTAAGAGCATTCAAAAATACTTAGTTTCACTCTTTTAATTTTCAAATTCCCTCTATTTTTAGCTCAAGATTTCTATTTACCCATGAAAGCAAATAGGAAATGTCTCAGAATAGTGGGTGCGGGCCCACCCCCAGAGGTCAGGTGCTCGTGGGTTTTGTAGCCAGTGGGTGGTGTGTCTCGATTAAAATAGCCTCGGCAGTAACGCGATACAGGCTTTTTTTTGTGTGCGGCGACTGCATTTGATGATGCTCTGCTAATGCTGTCGGCTCGTTCTATCTCAGAAATGTGGGGTGCGCTCAAGTGCTGCAGGGTCTGTGCCCGTAACCATACACCGCGTAGTGTGGCCGCGGCCTGTCACTGTTGAGTGGCAGAAGGGAGACGGGATGGTCGCAGCCAACCGACCC